TTCTTGCAGATCGGAGCATCAAGGTCGTAGGGGACGGTGCATGCTCCGATTACAAGCCCATTAACGCTGGTCTTCCACAAGGCTGCTTGCTATCACCAACGCTGTTTATTCTGCATATCAATGATATGTTGCAAACCAGTAACATTCATTACTATGCAAGATGACAGCACTGATGACTACACTTCGTAAGACGGCCAATGCTCTGACTAATACACACCCAAATCTTGAGAGATCAGCAACCATCTCAAGTGAAGGTAGGATCTACTCTCTTTCATATAAAGAAGTGACAACTATAATAAAAGAGGAAGCAAAAGCAGTTAAAACACCCTCAAATACTGATAGCAATTACCATTGGTATGGGATTGCTAACACTATATTCAACATTATGTTATTCAAGATGCATTTTGATGAAATCCGTTTGGGAGTAGGGTAAATACCCATTGCTTAAAGAGGAGATGTTACTGACTACATAGATGTTTCCCAATATGGATTAACTCCAGCTCACTATATTCTTTTAGGGAGCAACACATGAGCTAGAACGTAGATCAGCAATGGCTCCGACATTAGGACCTTACCCCTTACTGATCCCCCTAATTAAGAGATGCTTTCCGAAAGAAGTGGTTGGAAGCCGTGAAAAGGGATTTAATGCACATTCCAAACACATTGAATTTGTGCAACGCAATGATGGGTAAACGCTCCTACTCTAACCCAATTTACAGATGTGGTCCTAATAGATGGATCAAGGAATGCTCAACGTGCATTTTTCCCGCTTAATTTCCTCATAGTGGCATTAGCAACAAAAGAGCAAATGGCTAAGAGTTCACTAAAGAGGGATAAGGAGATAATGAAACCTGAAGAAATAGACTACTCAGGAAAAGGAATGTGGTTTCTATACAAAAATATCGAAGGCTTCAGATGGTATTTGGAGACGGCAATGGACGACATTTCTGCAAGGCAATTCGTTTAAGAACACAGAATGAAGATCTAGGTGTTCTACAATAGATTACAAATATGACTTCCCCGTGGAAACTTAGATGTGAAATTGCAGACAAATTTAGGGCTCTAGGAAAAGAGTTAAAAGCTATAGTTCTCCCAAAACAGGTTTTATATGTCAAACTTGCTCAGGCAAACATGACAGGGATGTTGACTGAATCCTCTTTTCAGATACGTTATAAGCAAGTATTTGCAGGAAAGAAAACAGGAACATACGTGGACTCCTTTTACAAACATATTGAGGCTTAGGGAACCAAGGTTGTAAGTGGAGGATTAAAACTTTCAGCTTTGACTGAGTTCTTTTCTGGCTTGAAAAGAGACCTAATGTCCAAAAAGGATAATCATCCAGTACATGGAACTGTTCAGTGGCGTGAAATGGGAAGTCTAACAAGTGCAGAGCATGGAGAGATATCTGACAAAATAATAAGGGAAAATGGAAAATATTTTAATGGACCTGCATTTTTTCTTGTGAACTCCTTTTCTTTATGTTGTTACTTTTTTTAATCTGATTGTATTCCATTGTATGTATTTATAATGATCCGTAAAGTGCAAAGCGCACCCGTAAGCGACGTTGAATTATCGTGTGAACTGTGAACTTCGCGACAACAAAACCGCCATCTGTTACATCAACAGAATGGGTAGTATATCAGCAGTGAGAAAAAAAAATCTATGATCGTTAGTTTCATACATAAATACGAAAAAATGTGCAAGCTTATGGGATCTAGAAGGGTTAACCCAGATACCGAGTTAGAGATTTGTCCTCGTGCATTCCGAACTATTACTGAACACTTCAGCCAACCCCAAATAGGCCTTTTCGGTTCTTGCGAACTGAATTCTGATTCTATTTCTGTCGATGCATTTACGATCTCTTGGCATCGTTATGATTATTATTGCATCCTACTATTTTCAGTAATCTTTAAATGCTTGCAAAAAGTTGTTAACGACCAGTCAACTGAAATAATTAAGTTTCCCTTCCCTCATATATACCAGGCGGTCCCATAATGAACTGGCCTGATATAGTTCAACGCGACATGTCGCTACATGTTGTGTTGCATTAAATAGTACGTTTATCGTGCACTTAATATAAGAAACATGCATCGACATGAAATGCTTAGTCTTAGTTTAACAGGCATTTGAATAACGAGAGTCGCGTATTTTTTCAAAATGTCGAAAACTGAGTATCGAAGTGTCATAAAGTTTCTGTTTAAAGAAGGTTTATCCCCTGCCCAAATAAAAGAACGATTGGATGGCGTGTATAAGGAGTCTGCCCCTTCCTATAGCACAGTGAAAAATTGGGTGAAAGAGTTTCGCCTCGGGAGAGAAACCGTCGAAGACTTTGGCCACGACGGACCTCTTATCGAAGAGGAGGTTCTGAGTGACCGCCATTTGAAGATTAGAGAAATTGCAGCAAGGCTTGGGCTCTCTAAGAGTACCGTTCATCGCGCGATCCATGAACATCTTCACATGAAAAAAGTGAGTGCAAGATGGGTACCGAAACTTCTTTCAGCGGTACAGAGACAGGAAAGAGTGCGCTGCGCTTCGGAGTTTTTGGATCTTTGTGGCGAAAATCCAAAGACTGTGATCGAGCGGCTAGTGACTGGTGATGAAACTATGATCTTGTATTATGATCCACAAAGCAAGCGCGAGTCAATGGAATGGCGTTATAAGGGTGAAAAGCCCCCTAGAAAGGCAAAGGTGCAACAATCGACTAAAAAACTGATGTGCACAATATTTTGGGATTTTCAAGGCATTTTGATGGTGGATTTTAAAGAACGTAATACAGTCGTGAACGGCGAATATTATGCTTCTTTAATATATAAATTACGAGACAAGATAAAGGAAAAACGAAGAGGCAAGCTGTCTAAAGGTGTCCTGTTGCTCCATGACAACGCCCCTGTTCATACCGCTGGTGTTTCGAAAGATGCAGTTCGTCAATGCGGGTTCACAGAAGTTCAACATCCACCTTACAGTCCAGACATGGCCCCGTCCGACTATTATTTATTTCCAAATTTAAAGCGGGACTTAAGAGGAAGAAAATTTTCAAGCGATGAAGAGTTGCAGGCGGCCGTCTTCAGTCATTTTGAGGATAAAAAATGTGATTATTTTTATAAAGGTTTAGAGATGTTGATTCACAGATGTCAGAAGTGTGTTAGTATTCATGGTGATTATATTGAAAAATAAAATTGGTTTCGTTTCATTTCCTTCATTGGTTCATAGTTAGGCCAATTCATTATGGGACCGCCTACGTAAGGATGGAGGAGGCCTTCACCCGAAAATGTGTATCCCATTATTAGTAATAATTAATATTATAATAAATTACTATATTATGTTACTAAAATTGACATGACATTTAGTAAATAAAACAAAAATTGCATGAATCATAATAATATTGTAAATGATTTGACTAATATTGACATTTCTATGAAAATTGGGAATTAAATGGCTATTATTATATTATATTATTATTATTATTATTTCCTTATAAATGTATATTGGCCTTCCCAACCATAGTTTCCCTTTCTGAAAATACTCTGCGGGTATTCGGAATTGGTTCCTAAATGACGCATTGCAGTCTTGTTACAGGATACACCTGCCTTAGAAAACTATCCTAGGTGCCACAATAGTTCCAGACAGGCGTTCACACAGCGAGGGGTTTCTCATGAAGCTTTAGAACTTATGTCGGCTTCACTTTTGTCTAATACATTGAAGCAGTATAACATCACGTTTAGGTTTAGGTGGTAGTTTCTGTGCCAGCAGTTATATAAATTATTTAACACAACTTACATCAGTGATTCTCTATCTAACAGAACAGTATCAGAAAGAAGTATCTTATGGATCACTTAATCCAGTCTGACCTTACATCCTAACCCACTCGGAGCTTTCGTTACTCTTAGGTATGATTATTGCAGTTTTTTTTAAAACTAGACAAAGTGTTCCAAAATATAATTTTATATGGGGCCCCCAATAAATGCTTGATTACTTGTATATTTATCAAGTTAAATGATTAGAAAACAACCTAAAATTAATCAAAGATTTAAATAGACACACAATCGTAAACATAAGTGTGCCACAGCACAAACCATCAGTAAATGTATATATTCATGGATGAATGGTAAAACAGGCTGGAAACATAACTCGCGAATACTTGTAAAAAATTTTAACCGTCCAATTATAACCGAAAAAATTGCCAGTGTTTTATTTGCTTCGATATCTTCTAAATAAAATGTCGATTATTTAATTTAAATAGTATAGTTATTTCTATATTACCTTTAAATAATTAAGGTTTAAATTTAATGTACATCGAAGTAAAGTTTCAGTTTCATTTTGTTTAATTGTTGTTGGTTGTTATTAGTTTTATTAAATTAAAATGCTATAAGCACACAAAACTATGTTTTACTTGTAATGAAGTATTCCCTTTCAATATGTAAATGTAACTAATACTTTTGATGCAATATGTAGGTTCTCTGAACATCCACCTAATAATTTGTCTATCTATATCTGAAGAATGGAGCTAAGAAATATAATATATTATGATCAAACGAACTTCTCAAACGAAGTTCGATCATTATTAAATGAATAGCTCTATTCGAAGATATAAAAGCCCACCCGCCACAAACCTTTAACTGAACAAAAATTTTTCAAAGTAGGACTGGGAGTGAGTGGAACGGAGGTTAATTCGGTTTTGTATCGAAATTCAATTTATTTTAATCTAAAACCGTGCGAATTTAACTAGTATGAGGACATAAATTACCTGGTAGTTTAACTATCTATCTATATATTCGAATGGACCTATTCATACAATAATGATGCGACTTCGTTTGAGGAGTACGTTTGATCATTTAATATTTGTTAAAAAAGGTTTTTAAATGTTATTTTATTTTGTTTTATGGCAACACGTGACATTACATTTTGTTATATTATAAATATAATGTAATTGACTATATATTTAATAGAATTACCGACACCAATATTCTAGACAACATCCGCAATACATTACTACACGAATATTAAGTCTGTGAAGAACCATAAGTCCCCGCTGGGGGCCTGTACTCCTCAGGGAGTGCCATCGCTTGTTTCTTCGTAAATGCATATTTCCTTATGCCAATATTCTTATAGGTATTTTCGCGACGACAACCCTCGCTGTAATGGAGGTTGAAAGACAAAATTAAGAAATTAAAACATTTTAATAACAATTAAAAATATCAAACTGAGATTATACGATCTGTTCATAAGCGGTTTTTTATTTCTTCTAAAATCCTTACATCAGCGCTACCTAGGCATACGTAGCTCTAATTGCTTACAAACCTGTACTTGAAATACCATGTTATTACAGCCTATCAAAAGTCCACTGCTAAAAAAAGGCTTCGCCCAAAATTGACTAAAAGGGGATATTTGCCATCACGCATTAAAATGTTTGCAATAGTTTCCAGTTCCACGCTTGGCAAACTAGTTGGTAACTGCCTTTCTTTTTTTTATTTTTAGTTGTTAAGATGGAAAGAAGATGCTACTGTCCATCTTGCAAACGAGCATACGGCTTACCTGATGGTAAGTGACTACCGCCGCCCGTGAACAACTGCAACACCGAGGGAATTACAGGTGCGTTGCCGGCCTTTTAAAAAGGGGGTCCGGAAAAAACGCCGGTGGTAAGCTATTCCACAGACAGATCATACGCGGAAGAAAACTCCTAGTGAAACATACAGTGGTGGACCGCCAAGCATCCAGATGGTGTCAGGAGTTTTGCCACGATACGCGTTCGTGAAATTTGGCGGCTGGGATTAATCCTTCTGCCCACTGCTTAAGGTACTACCCACAGCATAAGATGGTATGGGAAACAATCTATACAAGCCTCGTTACTGCATAAAGTAGGAAATAATTGTTGAGGTATGTTATCATTTCTAATACGAATACTTTACATGTACATGATTTACTCTGCTAACTAAACCACGAGCTTGTAGCGAGCGACAAATACATGTCAAAATGTATCTGTCGAACTTAAATTACACAGACGGATCACATGAAACAACGTCGCTAGTGCGAGACTAACGGTCATCATCAAACCGCCTGATTTATATGGACATTCTTAGAAGATATGCATGCCACTTGACGCTCTTCGTAAGTAGTCCTAAATATATCCAGTTCCAGTTCCAGCACTAGTTGAACCGCCATCACCTGAGCCAGCATTTAACGAAATTTAACTAATAATACCACAAAACGATATTATAATATTATGTTAGTACCTTCTCATAATGTTAAGTGCTTTTTTGAATTCATGCTCGGCCAAGTGATACTCCGAAGCTAGTATGGAACATTGCTCCAGCGTAACTGACATCCCAGTTCTATCTTTAGCACTTTTGCACGATGTGAATCTAACACCTGAAAGTAACCAGAACCTTTTTTACACTAATATACAGTACTGTATTTAAGGGTAAGTTATTTTACATTACTAATTTGATAGTTTAGCAATGTGAAATAACTTACCCTTATAAACTTATTTTATAAAACTATACTATTAGGATTTTCAATTTAAAAAAAAACCAAAAAACCAAAAAACCAATTTTAACCTGATTCTACATTATCGTCGTTTTGTAAAGTAATTTAATAGAAACAAAACTCCGCAAAATAATTGAATAAAACTACTTTTACGGATTTTAACGCGTTTAATCAACTTATTTTATATTCCCGACGTTTCGGTTGCTTTCCAGGAATCGGGTCAGGAATATAAAATAAGTTATTTAAACGCGATAAAATCCGTAAAAGTAGTTTTATTCAATGTGTAGTGATCGCGTAAATATAAGAAATCAGCCCGCAAAATAAATTCCTTAACCTTTGATTAAATAATACCTAAAACAAAGATGTATATACTGATTTAAAGCTAACAAATAAAAATTTAAGATACAGTCAAAGTTAACTATGACATTAGGACGTCAATTGTCAAGATTCGATCACCCACGCTACAACCACAGGTGCTGCACTCAAAACTTAGACAATTTAAAAAGCAGTTAAAGTTTAACGCGATAAAATCCATAAAGGGTTATTATATTCGCCTAAATATAAGAAATTATTATGAATTTATTTTTAACATTAACATAATTAGATGTATGTACGAAAAGCAAATAAATAATGTAATAGATTCTAGCTGAAGTTATTATAGCTCAAAAATTAAAAATCATCTTTTAGACTAAATTTCATTACAAGTTTTTTCTTCTCTTCTTTGTTTTAGCAAAAGTAACAGATAATCAACCATGTTAAAACTGACACTCTTATAACAAATTATAAACGTGCATTTGATTAAAAAAATATTAGCTGCACAAAACCCATACCATTCATAAGTCTCGTTGCTAGGGAAGCCAAATGTAATACTTCTATATTTTTTGGCACTTTCTTGTGTACAACTATGCGTAAATTCTCCATCACTTCTTCCAACGGTTTCGTTCTCGATGATGCTAAAACGTAACATCAAATTTGTGGTTAAAGAAACTTTATTTTCTCAAAAGAAATACATTATTTCACTTCATGAGAAACTTATAAGAAAAATGTTTCACAAGGTTTTTAGGTCGATGAACACAAAATAACTGATAATATGATATACCTACACAATAACAGCTAAATCGAGGGTACATTATACAATGCGACACTTATTGTCGTTGCAAATCTACTAGAAGCCAAATATCAAAAATAATGTGGGTGGGAATTAACAACAATGCAATGCTATACGCGATACCAGGGCCGGGTTCAGATACAATTAAATTAATTTAACATTGTTGCTTATATATTCTTTTAATTTGTTTTTGAAGACCGTAAATTTATTGGACATTTTTATGTCTAAAGGTAATTTATTGTAAATTTGTGCTCCCTCATATCTTATGTTCTTTTTGCCGTAGTTTGTGCGTGGTTTTGGAAGATTAATATTATTTGTACTTCGAAGAGGTCGAAGGCCTAGATCTTCTTTAGTTTTAAAACGTAATTGTGAGTGTACAGTATTTGACATAATTTTTTTCATTAGAATACATGTATTATAATGATATAATTGTTTGATGTTCATTAATTTTGTTTCTGTGTAAACTTTTTGTGTTGGAGTTAAGAAGTCATAGTGAAATAAAACTTTCACTATTTTGTTTTGAGTAATTTCTAAATAAACTATTCTAAATAACTGTCAACTTCATGACTCCGAGCTGCTGCTGTCAATTTCTTGTCAGTAATATCCAATAACAGATTTCAACCCGAACTTGAATTCAAAGCCGGGACCTCAAGGTCATCAGTCGCGTTTACGACCACTAGACCAAAGATGAGACCAAATAAAATAATACTTAACTTTCACACATTTAAAAAAATATCGGGTACATGGCAGCTGTGGAGTAGAACAAGGGTGGCCAAATAGCCCAAATAATCAACAAGACAAATAGTGACTGCTATAGGGCATTCACAGCCCATGTATTATTGACAATAGTCAAAAAAGATACCTAGTGTAGTTCAAATAAATGCGGTATAGAAGTAACCCTTATAAATTCGGAGTGACGACCTGGTAAAATCTTATGGAAGACAATGGAGGTAAGATCCATTATTGGTATTAGTACTATTACATGGATGTATACATCGGATATTTATTTTTTTTTATAGGAGAGGGGGCAACCGAGCATGCGGCTCACCTGATGGTAAGTGACTACCGCCGCCCATGAACAACCGCAACACCAGGGGAATTGCAGATGCGTTGCCGGCCTTTTAAAAAGGAGTAGGCTCTTTTCTTGAAGGTACCTAAGTCGTATCGGTCCGGAAAAATCGCGGGTGGTAAACTATTCCACAAGGAAGTTGTGCGAGGAAGAAAACATCTTCTAAATCGCACAGTGGTGGACCGCCAATCATCCAGATGGTGTGGATGGTATCGGGAGTTCTGCCGCGATGTGCGTTCGTGAAATTTGGCGGCTGGGATTAATCCGAACAATTCCGCAGAGCACTCCCCATGGTAAATGCGAAAGAAAATGCTAAGAGATGCAACATCTCTTCGCAGTGCCAATGAGTCGAGCCGATCGGAAAGGACTCGGTCGTCGACGATTCGAGCCGCTCTGCGCTGGATGCGGTCAAGTGGAAGAAGCTGGCACTGGGGAGCCCCAGCCCAGAGATGGAAACAGTATTCCATGTGAGGCCGAACCTGCGCCTTGTAAAGTTGCAGGCATTGAGCCGGCATGAAATACTGTCCCGCTCTGCTGAGCACGCCAAGCTTTTTAGAGGCCAATTTGGCCTTCTCTTCCAAGTGACCACGAAACTGCACGCTACTCGATATGTCGACGCCGAGGATTCCGATACTGGCTGAGGCAACAAGGGGAGTACCTTGAAACTGAGGAGATACGGCAAAGGGGTTCTTTTTAACGGTAAACGCGCAAACTTGTGTCTTCTGAGGATTAAACTGGACTAGATTTAGTCGCCCCCAATCCGAGACTTTGTTCAGCAAAGACTCGACTTCAGACACAAGTTTGTTCCGGTACTCAGTGACGTTTTCCCGAGAAATATTGGCACGGCCGGTGTATAGAGCATCACCAGTGCTGTCATCCGCATAGCAATGAATGCTACCGGCTTGCAACATATCATTGATATGCAGAAGAAACAGCGTTGGTGATAGCACGCAGCCTTGCGGAACACCAGCGTTAATAGGCTTGTAGTCGGAGCATGCACCGTCTACAACGACCTTGATGCTCCGATCTGCAAGAAAGCTGGTGATCCAATTTCATAATTTCTCGGGAAGCCCATAGGAAGGGAGCTTCGAAAGAAGCGCTTTGTGCCAAACCCGATCGAAGGCCTTCGCAATGTCCAAACTAACGGCCAATGCCTCCCCCTTGGACTCTACTGCTAACGCCCATCTATGAGTTAAGTAGACCAGAAGATCACCAGCTGATCGACCCCGACGAAAACCGTACTGGCGGTCACTAATCAGCTGGTGATCCTCAAGGTACCGCATGAGGTGGCAGTTTACAACGGATTCCATTATTTTGGAGAACAAGGGGGTGATGGCGATAGGCCTGTAGTTGGACGGGTCTGAGCGGTCGCCTTTTTTAGGGATCGGGTGGACAAAAGCTGTCTTCCATGATTTCGGGACTACGCCTAGGGAGTAGGAGTACCGGAAAAGACGCGTTAGAACCGGTGCCAACTCCGGAGCACACGTCCTCAGCACAATTGGGGGGATTCCGTCAGGCCCACTCGACTTGTGGATGTCAAGGGAGAGGAATGCTCTGCGAACCGAGCGCTGTGAGAACCGCACATCCGGCATGGAGCACTCACACCGCGGGATGGTCGGCGGTGTGTTCCCGCCGTCATCAACAGTCGAGTTGGACGCAAAAAGGGAGCCTAAAAGGTCGGCCTTCTCTTTTGCGTCGTGGGCCAGTGAGTCGTCCTCCCTGTGCAGAGATGGTAGTGATGGCTTACAGAAATTCCCTTGGACAGCCTTGGCGAGAGACCAGAATGCACGGGTTCCCGAAGGAAGGCGAACTAGTTTCTCGCCAATTCTGCCTATGTGCTCTGACTTTGCCTTGGCAATAACTCTTTTGAAGGACCTGGAGGCGAAGTTATACTTCTTTTTGAGTGTGCTGGTGTTTACATCCCGAGTCACCGAAGCCGCAGCCCAGGCTTGATAACACTCCTGCTTACTGCGTAATGCAGTCTTACAGGAGCGACCAAACCAAGGCTGAGATCTGCCTCCGATGGGTACCACAGATGATGGAATAAATAGTTCCATTCCCTGTAGCACCACATCAGTGACAGAGTCAGCAACAGCGCTGGGATCATCCGGCGAGAAGCAAACCCGCCCCCATGGGTAGGAAGCAAAGAAAGACCGCATTCCGTCCCAATCCGCCGACCTGTAATGCCAAACACGGCGGCAACCTGCAGAACGCAACCGCGAGGGGAGCGTGAGTGGCACCACACTCCGGATCAGACAATGGTCCGAAGAGCCGAGAGGGGCATCGACGGAAACCTGATATCCGTCCGGATGAGAGGTCAGCAGAAGGTCCAACAGTGAAGGTGTATGATCCTCAACATCTGGAATCCGCGTAGGCGATGTAACCAGTTGTGTCAGACCATATGCCAACGCAAAGTCATAAACAGATCTCCCCGCATGATCGGTTAAACGTGAACCGAGCCATTCGGCGTGGTGGGCGTTAAAATCGCCAAGGATCACGATATCTGCGGATGGGACCTGTTGTAGCAAGGAATCTGTAGCCATTTGGACGTGGTCGATGAGTCGGTCTGTTTCGGCATTACCGCTATGGGACCTATAGAGGCACGCGTAGACGCGCGGATGGTCGTCGCTGTCTACGCGTAGCCAAAGGATGGACAGGTCCGAAACTTCAAGACTGCCGAGGCGTCGAGAACAGATGTCCTCTCTGACATACACGCAAACTCCAGCCCGAGGCACAAAGGAGTGCTCCAATTTGTACCCCGGGCAGGAGAGATACGAAGTATCAGCCGGAGAGGACACCTGCGTCTCGGTCAGAAAGAGCAAGGCCGGCTTCGCCGTCTCAAGATGGTAGTGGACGGCGTTTAGGTTCGAGTGAAGTCCCCTGATGTTGCAGAAATTCACGGATAGCGTGGCAGGGGTCGCCTTGGTCTTGTTGCTCAGTTTGCCCCGAGCAGTTATTATGTTGAGCGGAATTTTGCCCCCCCCCCCCCCCAGAATACGCGGGGCAGCCTGAGCACCCACGCTCAGGAGTGGAATAGCATGGTCGTGGATGCTCAGCGAGGGATTCTCCAGGGGTACTGGTACCCTCCTGGGGTAGTTTATGACGTAATTCCGCTACAATGTTGATGGGGGGGGGGGGGGGGGGAATTGGGCCTCCGGTCACCTGCACTCACCAGACGAAACGCGGAAGCAGAGCTTCCACTTCACGCCGGTATTCTGTGAGGTCGTGGTACTAACCCGGCTCGAGCCGGCCCATACGTGCAACAGCAAAAGCTGCTGCAAGGCTCTACCACCGTTAGACACCGTTAATTCTGATAGTATATTGTACACATACTATCAGAATTATTTAAATAAAAATAATATTCCCCAATAAAGAAAGTTATGTAACAGGAAACACAGTAAGCAGTTAGAAATAAAGATTACGGAGTGAATGATTTTAGCGGAATGGCTACAAAGGAAATCCTTTAGCCATAACAAACTGAATGAACGTTTGAATGACTTTAGCGGAACGCACCGTTCGTACGAGAAACCGTACTTTCATGACGACGACAAAACAACTCCGTAGTGGGGAGGTGAGGACAGTTGGCGAAATGCACCCCCACCACTTCACGAGCAGTTTAAAACAAGCTGGTCTTTCAAATATTTTAGAATAAGGGTGACAAACGAGCACATAGTCCACTTGATAGTAAGTGAATGCTGTGGCCCTTATACATCTACACTTATCCTCCATTAAGAATCAATGCAGATGCGTTGTCACCCCCTGAGGACTAAGATAGAATGTCCTGTTTCCAGTAAAAAGGGTCTCCGGTTCTCTAAACTCACCATACAAAACACAGTACATTAAGCTGCTATTTTACGCTGGTATTCTGTGAGAGGCTGATGAAGCCGACCCATTCGTGGTACATCTAAATATAACTGCATTGTGGCACAACCACCTTGAAAATAAACCTTCACTTTAATACTTCACGACAACGACACCGTCATATAAATATAATATACGAGGGCGATTCTGAAAGTTTTTAGAACTGGCCACTTGTAAACGATACAATAAAAAGAAATAAGTTCATATTTTGAAAATGGAACTCTCTGCCAATATTACGAGGGCTGCACTAAAAGTATCGGGAATGGAATATTTCCACTGTTCCTGTCATATTAAAATCTTTTTAATTGAAAACTCCTTGGTTTTAAAAATCGAATACCATTTATTTATTTAAAAAAAGATACTCGGTCTTGTCACATGGTTTTGTCAAACTTGTTTAGTCGTGGAGAAAATGGAATTGACTCGAGAAAATTCAAGAGCGATGATTTATTATGACTTTCGAAATGGTTTAACACAAAAACAGTGTGTTGACCGGATGATTTCTGCATTTGGTGATGAAGCCCCATCCAAAACCACAATTTATCGCTGGTTTGCTGAATTTCAACGTGGACGTGTCAAGCTCAGTGATGATCCCCGTCAAGGTCGTCCAAAAACTGCAGTCACCCAAGAAAACGTTGATGCTGTGCGTAAGTTGATTGAGGAAGATCGACATGTGACATACCGCAAAATGCAGGCAACTTAGACATTGGCATGAGTTAAATACAAATAATCTTGCATGAACAATTAAGTGTAAAAAAGTTGTTTTCCCGATGGATACCGCATTTGCTCTGTGAAAAGCAAAAAGCGGCTCGCGTTACTTGATGCGCCAGAACTCTCGAAAGATTCCACGCAGGATCCTCAAATGCTGTATACAACATCGTATCAGGTGACGAATCCTGGATATACGCGTACGAACCCGAAACAAAAAACCAGTCACGAGTTTGGGTGTTCGAAAATGAGTTAAAGCCAACAAAAATTGTTCGTTCACGAAGTGTTGCAAAAAAAATGGTGGCCACGTTTGTCTCCAAAACCGGCCATGTTACGACTATTCCTCTTGAGGGACAAAGAACGGTTAATGCAAAATGGTATGCTAGCATTTGTTTGCCACAGGTCGTTTCTGAACTCCGTAAAGAGAACTGCAACCGCCGCGTCATCCTACATCACGACAATGCGAGTTCTCACACCGCACACAGAACAAAAGTTTTTAGAGCAAGAAAACATAGAATTATTAGACCATCCGCCGTACAGCCCCGACCTAAGCCCTAATGATTTCTATACTTTCCCTAAAATAAAGAATAAATTGAGTGGACAGAGATTTTCATCACCTGAAAAAGCTGTGGACGCCTACAAAACGGTCATTTTGGAGACCCCAACTTTCGAATGGAATGGTTGCTTCAATGATTGGTTCCATCGTATGGAAAAATGTGTCAAATTTCGCGGAGAATACTTCGAAAAGCAATAAATACATTTTTAAATAGTAATGTTGTGTCATTTCCTTGATTCCCGAAATTTTCAGTGCCGCCCTCGTATTGTGTATGTATTTTATAAATTTGTCATTTGTTTACGATTTGGCAGCAAATCGAAAATTGCTGTGTCACGTCAGTATTAACTTAACGCGAGAAAATTTTCAACAATGATTTTTTATGACTTTCGATGTCATTTAAGTCAACAAGAAAGTTATGATATACCTCGATTGGCCTTTTACGATGAGGCCTCATCTCGTGCCACTGTTAACAACTGGTTTAATGAGTTTAAACGTGGTCGCACTAATCTCATCGATGATCTGCGTGAAGGACAGCCTTCTACGGCGATGACTGAAAATAACATCAGTGTTGTGCGGCGTATGATAGAGACTGACAAAAGAGTGACTTATCAGTAGATTATGACAAACTTAGGCATTGGTATGAGTCAAGTGCACAAAATCCTCCATGAACATTTATCGGTCATGAAGCTTTGTGCCATGTGGATACCTCATAATTTGACAGAGGACCAAAAACTCCGTCGTGTTGATTGGTGTCGTGAAATGGTTCAAAGATTTAACGGAGGTGACTCAAATGCTGTGTTCGACATACTTACGGGTGACGAAAGCTGGATTTATTGTTATGATCCTGAAACTAAGAGGCAGTGTGCTGTCTGGGTGTTTCCTTCTGAGGAGTTGCCAACTAAAGTGAAAAGAAGTCGAAGCGTGGGAAAAAAGATGGCGACATCGTTCTTCGGAAGGACAGGTCATTCATTACGCAACAATTGTTTTAGAGGATCGAAAAACAATTACTGCGGAGTGTTACACTAATAATTGTTTGCCACTTGTCTTGCAAAAAGTTCGGGACAAACGACCTCGCAGTAGGAGGATCCACCACGACAACGCCTCGACGCACGTCGACAAGCAAACAATCGACCACTTGGCGACGTCAGACGTGGAATTACTGGGTCACCCGCCCTATAGTCCCGACCTCGCAAGTTGCGATTTTTATTTATTTCCGAAAATAAAAGAAAAACTTGGAGGAAAACGTTTTATGGACACCGAGGAAGCAGTGGCTGCGTATCAAAACGCCTTCAAAGAGACCCCTAAGGACGAGTGGGCAAAGTGCTTTTCTCAGTGGTTCCATCGGATGCAGCGATGTATTGATGTAAATAGACACTATTTTGAAAAGATATAATAAAACTTATAACTTGCTAGTTTGTTCAGTTTTTGATTTTCTAAGAACTTTCAGTGTCACCCGCGTATGTATTTGCCAGTATATGATTTTAGAAGTACTTTTCCTGTTGCATGTTCAAACATCTGATGTTAAAAATGTATGTTAATGTCTACAGAAAGGATTTAAGATAAAGTTTATTATAATATATATACAACTTATAATATTACGTATTTGATTGTATCGTAGAAAATCCCACACCCATCCATCGTAGTGTTAAAAAAGGGATTAGGTAGTAACTAAACAATTTCAATGACGATTTGTTTACGAAAAAAATCTTACCTCTATTCGCAGCCATGTGATCGGCTGGAAACACTTTATTGTATTTGTGATAGTATTTGTTTAATCTATCCAAGTTATCGCTGTTGGATTGATACTGGGGCGTGGTTTCGCCCAACGCCTCGGCTAGAGTAGCCTTCTCGTTTATGCCGATATTAAAGAAAACGGCAGTAATTGTAAATGATAAGTACTGAAAGTGCATTATGACATTAGGCATCATTAAAAACATAACAAGTCATGTAACAAAAATTGATCAAAAATTACATTTGCTATATTATAAAAAAAAACCTCGCACTAAATTACATAGATCGAAATTATCAATAATTAATGAATCTTGATCACAGTATCATCAAAAATATTCATGGTCGAGATGACAGCTATTAAGTTTTTTCAAAAAGTATACGTAATGATAAATTTATTTAATATAGTATACAATACATATATGTAGTACTAAATAAATACATATATATTATGTAGTACATTCATAAAAATATATTAACTAAAATAAAAACAGAAGTATTTTTAAACAATCAAAAACTATACAATTTTAACAATATATGTTCCAAAGTTATAAAACAAAAAATGACTAGTTTTAGAAGTTTCCAATCTACATCACTTATTATTTGCGTGCAGCAGGTGAAAAAAAGTTTTATAGCGTAATTTTAACGCTTTAGAGAAATTAAAATAATAAAATAGTCTTTACTTCTTTTTAAAAATAATATTTGTTTCCGCTTTTAGGGGAGACTAAGCACTATCACAAGCTCAAAGCAACAAGTACAATGTCTTGTAAACTTAAAAATATCATCCACTATTTTTCCACTCTGAAGACCCAACCCTATTGGTGGAAAAATTGCGGATTTTTTTCTGTCCGGAAGTTAAAGTTATTTAATAAAACATAATTATCAAAATTGGTTGCGTGTAACGAAGATATCACGTTTTTTAGTATTTTTTTCTTATATACAATACGGGTGACAAGCGAGCACACAGTCCCCCTAGTGGTAAGTGGTTGCTGTGGCACATACACATCTACATCATGAGATGATAGAAAACGCAGATCCGTTGTCAGCCGTGAGGACTAAGATAAAATGCCTCTTTTCCAGCAAAAAGGTTCTCTACACTCACCATACGAAACACAGCAGCATTAATCTGCTATTTTACGCTGGTATTCTGTGAGCGCGTGGTCCTTCCCAGGTCGAGCCGACCCATTCGTACTACAATTATACAATTAATATAGCTGCAGCCTGACTCTACCACGTACAATCGTATCATACATAAAAGAACCGTCAAAATAAGAAAATCCTTTACAAAATCGCTAAAAATAGTATTTGTGGATTAGGTCATTTGATATAACTACGACCAATTAAAACCCATTTATTTGTTTTATTTCTGAATTCCTCTTATAATTAGGAACACTTACTTCCTTGCACGTGAATTTTGAATAGAGCGAATCCGAAATTGGAATGTTGACAGTGAGAGCACTTCTAGTTCCACTGACTTGCGGTATAACACTATTACTGTAAAAAAAAATTTGTATTAGTTTATTTTCTTAAACTTTGTGCGGTCTGTGGACAGCCATCATAATCCTCAAACAACTATACATAAAAATAAAACATCTATACATAAAAGTAAAAAGTGTTTGTCTGCAATATCGAAATAACTGTCTTTTATTGAGCGCAGGGGTTTTTTGTATGCCATTAAGACATGTGTAACCATTTTAAATTTTTTTGCCTTTCTGTATGTATGTATGTATGTATATCTGTTTGTCTGTCTGTTTAGGCTAATCTTTAGAATGGTTGAACCAACGTCAGGAGTGATCTAGGCTATATTTCATCTAAAAAACTGAGAAGTGCAAGTCGGAGTTTCGTTGATAGCACCGGGCTCCAATGGCTATGCGGACATAGATATTTTGGAGGACTTGAAGGTCGTGCAAACATGCTAACGTGTGCGCGTAGGCTAGAACTTGATAGGTTTTACACACGTTTTATTATAAATATGAAGCTTGTATCTTAAGGACACTTTGCTCTTACTGTTACCTAGCGGATGGAGGCTAGAAACGAAATTGGCTTAGTTGCAGACATTGCGAATATGTTTCGAGAAGGGGGACATACTGTGTTCAAATGTGATCCCTAAGAATTTAGCCGTCGTTTCCCAGGAATCTAGGTAATCGAACATAATTTGTTGAACATAGTACCCAAAAAATTATTACGGATTTAAGTTCCGACGATTGAGAGTAGGGTTCCTTTAAAGTATACTGCTGCACTTTTCTCGGGATTCACTTCGATTCTCCATAAGCGAAACCATCGCCTAGGCGATCGGTAGCTGTTTATTGCATCTAGGTGAGGAATTTCTTATTGTAATCAGCGACGAAGAATGCCGTGTCGGCCAGGAGAGCAGAATTAAACCCCGCCTCACACTCTCACACTCGCAGTGGTCATCACGCGCTGCGTGCGAGTGGTTCTAGACATTTGAAACACGTTTTTGAGTGGCAATGGCGCGAGTGTCTATAAACTAAAACCGAACTATTTTCCTTGGTTGGCATTGATGCACTAATGCACGACTCGTGTCCACAAAAGCGGACGCATACGTGTCGGTCGACCAATATAAATGCCACATCAGCGCAATATCGTGAACGAGTGTGAGCATATGCGGTAGCCTTACTACGGGGTCCTTCGGGATGTCACTCGTTTAGAGTGTAAAAAAAATGGGAATGGAACGGAGCCCTTGCTCCACCGTGCCAGTTGGCGACTGGATGGGAGGACCCGATGGCCATTTCGGGGGGGGGGGGGGGGGGGGGGGAAGGCCTGGTGTCCCCGCGGTCTCCAAATGAGTTCCCCGTCAGTTGACTAAGCTCTCGACTCTTCAGTTACTATTTGAGCGGCGCATCGGTTTCTCAACTGCTTACCCACCAAAAACACCAAAAAGAAAAAGCTAAAAAGAAGAATATGGTAAATCAACTGTGGCACTTCCTCCCGCTTAAAGTGCACCTCACGAACATTAGAGGGTTGCACACTAACCTTGATCTGGTCCACCACCACCTCGAGACCGAAAAGCCGCACCTATTCTTCTTAACGGAGACGCAGATAGCAACTCCGGCTGATGTGGCGTACCTCAACTACCCAGGCTACACGCTTGAACATAAGTTTAAACAGCGCACTGGAGTCTGTGTACACATCCGCGATGACATTTCAGGTTTTATTTTCATAGCTTCAGGGTTGTCTGAAATGTGGCCTTTGGTGGACATTGGTGTAGAGACAACCCTTCTATGCTTGTGTCTGTCTATAGATCGCACAGCGGAGACCAGGAGACAACCAGGCTCATTGAACACCTGACAGGGATGGCAGACAAAGCCCAACGGTATCCATCTGCGGAGCTAGTTTTTCTCGGGGATTTTAACGCCCACCACAAAGAATGGTTGCTCCCATACGAGAAAACCTATCATGCTAGGAGAGAGGCGCGCAAACTTGCGTTATCGCTAGATCTCACTAAGCTAGCTCAAGTAGCAATGCGGGTACCAGATGTAGCCGGGCATACACCCAATTGCTTGGACAATTGCTTGGATACGTGGTAGAGCCATGCTGCAGCTATATTAGTAATATAGTTGTAGCCCGAATGGATCGGATCGACCGGGGAAGGACCGCGCTCTCACATAATACCAGCGTAAAATAGCAGCTTAACGCTGCTGTGTTTCGTATGGTGAGTGTAGAGAACCGGAGACACTTTTTACTGGACAAGAGGCATTCCATCTTAGTCCTCACGGGTGACTAAGGCATCTGCATTTTGAGTCTTTATTGAGGATAGATGTAGATGTCTATGGGTCACAGTAACCACTTACCATCAGGTGGACTGTGTGCTCGTTTGTCACCCGATCCTATAAAAAAAAACCTTCTGCTCATAACAGACTCAGACAGGCACTCTATATGTCTCAGCTCCGCTGGGATCATCCGATTGCTGTCTGGTGGAACCCGTAATTATTGAAAATCACGGACAATATTCGCCACGGTATGGAAAATCATCAAGTCACATTATTGGTGTTGCTGGATTTCAGCAATGCCTTTAATACTGTTGATCATGACATCCTGTTAGGGATTCTGCGTATCTCCAACTGCAATTTCCTGGTTTCATAGTTATTTGTATGGGCAACGCCGGCAACGTATTCGTGTCCAAGATAGACTTTCTTCGTGGCTTAATACAGTAGCTGGCGTTCCACAAGGTGGCGTCTTATCTCCTCTTTTATTCGCAATCTTTATTAATACGATTACATCCCAAACATCTTCTCTCTACCACTTGTATGCAGATGATCTTCAAATATATCTCCAACTGCAATTTCCTGGTTTCATAGTTATTTGTATGGGCAACGCCGGCAACGTATTCGTGTCCAAGATAGACTTTCTTCGTGGCTTAATACAGTAGCTGGCGTTCCACAAGGTGGCGTCTTATCTCCTCTTTTATTCGCAATCTTTATTAATACGATTACATCCCAAACATCTTCTCTCTACCACTTGTATGCAGATGATCTTCAAATATACTTACAAACAACCATTGAAGATCTTCCCAAAGCAGTGGAATGTATCAATAAGGATCTAACATTTATTCTCGACTGGAGTTGTTCTTATGGGTTAACGGTGAACCCTTTAAAATCCCAAGCCATAATCATTGGGAGTTCAGGAATACAACCCGTTGTATATAATGGAGTTCCCATCCCTTATAATGACGTTGCCAAAAATTTAGGTATCCTTTTGGATTCAAGTCTTTCTTGGGCTCCCCAAATTAATGCAGTGAGCCGTAAAATGTTCGCAGCTTATGCTTCACTCCGGAGGCTTAATTACTTTTTACCCATTGCCACCAAAATTACGCTTGCACAATCTTTACTACTCCCTATCCTTGACTATGCTGACATTTGTTACCTTGATATCACCGAGGAGCAACTTAACAAGCTTGAGTGATTCCAAAATCTCTGTATTCGGTTCATATTTGGACTTCGCAAATATGACCATGTCTCAGAATACCGCACTAAGCTCAAGTGGCTCCCAATCCGTCTTCGACGGAATACTCATATACTTTCTGCTCTCTACTGCGTCTTATTTAATATATAAAGTCCTTCCTATCTAAAAGAACGTTTTAAATTTCTCCTGTCATAATTTTTCCTTACGATCCAAAGAATATCTTTCCCTCCAATGTCCTGTGCACTCCTCGACTTATTATTATAAATCATTCTCTGTTCTTGGAGTAAGACTTTGGAACTCCTTACCCCAGTCAATTAGAAGAGCTCAATCCTTAAATATGTTCCAGAAACAGATTAAAGAATACTATTTGTCTCTCTAACCCCTCTCACTTCCACCGCTTAATTATGGTCATTGATCTGCCTGAAGAATGTTGTCTTTTTAATGCATAAGTTTGTATCTTAATTTTATTTTTATTTGTTTTTATTTACTTCTTATTTTTTTATTTTAGTGAACCCTACCCATTGTTCTTTTTCTTATTTTTATTTATTTCTTCTTCTGGGTTGTCTGGAAGAGATTGCTATGTAGCAATAAGAAAGCCCTTTGTATTTCACTCAATAGTTGTTTATTTCTTATTGGTGTACAATAAAGAGTATTGTATTGTATTGTATTGTAATGATCACCTCTCCTCCGGATTACTGCTCAGCGGCACGAGGAGAGTATGGCGATACGAGTCCGGAGAGACTGGGATGAGATGCCGCACTTTTTGCATCCTATCCGTGGCGGCAAGAGTGCTTCTCTTCGGATGAACCCTCCTGCTCTGCCGATGCAGTTGCGGATGTAATACGATAGGGAATGGAATATTTTATTCAGTTCTCCGACATCGCGCTCGGTCACAACGCTCGGCCCTGGTATAATGTGGACTGTGGGTTCGTGCAAAGAAGAGAGCTAATAATTCTACTGCCAAGTCTTGCAAGCTGGTACCCCGCCGGGCACGATTCGACCATGTCAATCGTATAGGGGTCAGACTTACTTCCTACCCTCCTCCTCCTGGTAGTAAACAATTTTGTTCGCTGTCGAAGGCTGTCCAATTAAACTTCTGCCATCCCTCATTGCCTCCCATGCATAAATCTGATGGAACACTGGCTCACTCCGCGACTGAGAAAGCAAATTTATTTGCATCTCTGTTTGCGAGCAATTCTCGTCTAGGTGCTGGCTCTAAACAACCGCCAACCCTATCTCACCGTTATTTATCGATGCCGTCCATCATCCATACGAAAGAGGTACGTAGAGCTTTGCAAAACCTAGACGTGTATAAGGCCAGTAGACCTGATGATATTCCTGCAAGGGTACTAAAGCATTGTGCGCTTGAGTTGTCTCCTATTCTGACATGCCTGTACCGCCTCTCTCTTAAAACTCGAACGTTGCCCAAATCTTGGAAGCTTGCCAATGTGCAGCCAGTAACCAAGAAGAGTAAACGTACCGATGCCTGTAATTATCGACCAATCGCCATCACCTCCATACTCTGTAAAGTTATGGAATGGGTATTGAACATTAAGCTGCTGACGTACCTTGAAACAAATGACCTCCTCAGTGATCATAAATTCTTCCCCGGCGGAAGGTCCACTGGGGATCTTCTTGTGTATGTCACGTACTTCTGAGGAGAGGCCATCGAGAAAAACGGTGAAGCTCTAGCAGTTTCACTCGATATCTCGAAGGCTTTTGACAGGGTTTGGCATGCAAGTCTGCAGAGTAAGCTTCATGCTTACGGCATAACCGCCGAATTTGGCAACTGGATATCTGACTTTCTGAGTGAACGGTCGATCAGGGTAGTCACAGATGGCTGCTTTTCGGACCTTATGCATATTAATGCCGGAGTTCCTCAGGGCTCCGTTCTCTCTGCGACTCTTTTCCTGGTGCACATCAATGACCTACTTCTACCAGGTATTGTTGGGTATGCAGATGACAGCACAGTCACTGAGAGATTCATGTCCAGTGTAAAAGACGGAGGGGCAATAATACGTTCACTCAGAAAGGCCACGGTGGAGCGGATAAATGCGACCTTAAGCTTTGTCCTCCCAATGAGTTGATGACAATCTGGTCAATTGCAACGCCGCTAAAACGCAAGCCTGTCTGTTTTCCGCAAAACTGAGTTTGATTGACTCCTACTTTCCAACATACATCTGTATAGGTTACTTATCATCTTGAGCTTCTCGGCCTACAGTTGAGTGCTAACCTCGACTTTGGCGCTGACATTGAGTCGAACGCACAAACTGCGGCCAAAAAAGTGGGTATCTTAAAAAGGGTAAAGCGATAATTCATGACTTCACGCCTGGATAGCTTCTAATTTTATACAAAACTCAAGTCCGAACATGCATGGAGTATTGCAGTCACCTTTGGAATGGCTCAGCAAATTATCAACATGGTGGCGGTCTTCTACAGATTATACTTCAGAGTGTGACTGTCAGAGATTGATATTCCTAATATTCGCACTAAGTTCTTTAAGTCACCTTTCATAATGAGCATAGCGAATGAGTGGAACACCCTGCCGGCGTCTGTTTTTCGGAGTGCGTATGACCTGAACCTATTCAAGGTGCGTGGTGCAACATGATCTCCTGGTAAACTCGCTTCATCGTTGACGTCATTTTTCCCCACGTGCCAGATGAAGGTAAGTAAGCCCATTTTTAATTTAAAAAATACAGCTGGAAAAGCAAGCCGGTGTTAAGAGTTTGGTAATTTCTTGTGGGAGAAGCCTTTCAAAATGTATTCTGCATCGAATGTATGGTTTTCTTTAAAAAAAGTGCTTTCAGTGTAACCCCAGTACAATAAAAACAAATCTTCTCTTATATAAGTGGTTCCCTTGTATAACCCCTATCCAGCAGTGGACTTTTTACACACTAGCTTAGAAGATGAAGAAACAATTAAAACATAATGTAAATGCTACCAATACGTCGCACATACCTATGGCCGACTTTGGTCAACGTAAATAGTACAGTTTGTAAATCTTCAACAGCCACCACCATGTCACCCCACATAGCTTTCTCCGTGGAATAAAGGCTGAGTAAACCCTCAAATCCACAAAGAGGGCCCAGATCTGAGCTTAAAAGCTTCACTATTACATCGCCAGGTACAGAATTAAACCAACATAGTAGTCCGGCTGTAACTGTTGTTAACTGGAAAATAAAACAATTTTCATTAATTAATTTAAGGAAAACTAGAAGTTTTTATTTTTTTATTTTCGTAAGAAACCAAAAGAACGCACTGCTTTCCTTGGTTTGAAATATACTGTAGCCAATAAAGATATGTCCAAATCTGTATATTTAGCGAAATACCACTGACTGACTGACCCATCACAAGATCTCTAAAACTATACCGGGTGTATACTTGGGGGTGTATATTGACTTGAAATTTAGTATAGTTACTTATTTCGCAATGTAGACACTAAATAAGAACGGATTTTATGATAGTCCCATCAAAAGAAAATTTAATAGGTTCCGCAATAAAATATTATCGTGCGCCCAGCGAAGCGAGCGAGTATCAACTAGTTTTTCAATATACATGTATGAATCATTCATTTGAATTCTTTTATTGTCAATTTGTACCTATATAATATGATTTTACAAAAATATATGTTTGTAATTTGCAATACACGCTAGTATAGTGGCTTAATGGTTTACTTTGGGAGTCAAACTCCCTCGTTGAACTAGTGGGCATAAGCGCGGCTGCTGATCGTGTGGTCTCGATTTCGAATCCCGGGTCGAGCCGAGCAAAAATATTAAATTTCGTTTTTATGCCTACTAATTCTCAATAACAGCCCATAGTCATGAAGTTGGCGCTGTTTCATCCCCTAGCCTCGGTTATTACTTAAAGCTGTTAGTCCTGCGCCTGAACTCTTGAACTCTTCCAACCTAACTAGAACTAGAACCCAGACTAAAATTATGGCTAAAAAGCACATAAATTGTGAATTGGCGTCCGAAAGAAAATTATTATCTTTGTCCTAAACACTTCACAGATGACTGTTTTATTAGACATGAGAAACGCACCACTTTGAAAAAGTGGAGTATACCCACAATATTTTCTTACCAGCAAGTATAAAAGTATTAGATTATTATTTCGAATGTTTTTATTTCTTCTCTCCTTATTTTCTCCCAGACTCAAGGGCCATAGCATGACCAATTTATGGTATCAAGGGAATAAATTTATATTGGAACTGCAAAATTATTAATGTCCGTAGTGAGTTTGCGTTGTTTTAGGTGAGATATAACTTCGCCCTGAACGGATGTCCGCCTTGTCGTGGCGGGGGGAGGAGAGTGGGAGATTAGTAGCCGTGGCATGGTAACCCATGGTAAACGTAGGGCGACTCACATGGCTAGATCGAAGTGAATGTGTGAATGAAAAAGTGAATGAAGTGGATGTGTGTTTGTAAGCCGCGGCTAGAGGAGAGTCCTCTCTCTATATCGCTGCAGCCGACGTGGTGTCGTAAGGGAAGAGGATTGTTGGTATGGTAATGCGCCACTCGACTATCCTCCGCGACTTGAGTGCTCGTTTTATCTTGGCTCCATGACCTCCACATATCGGGCTCGGGAAGTCGGGGAGGGAAGCCTGAGGACTTTTAGTACTAAAGAGGGGTTCTCGTTGGTGGAGCCGCGGATGTGCTTGAAAGAGTTTCCGTGGCCTTGTCAATGTGTGATGAAGGTGGAACATCATGGGGTTTTAGTAGGTGCAAGTCCGACATAATCCGGTCTTGCCCCCGCAATGCATTTTCTCATTTGAAACCCGGAACAAACTCTGTTCTGTAGTTACGAATAAAAACGTTGATAGATCAACGCAGTATCGATTCTTTTTTAAATGAAGTATAAAGGTTGCGTCTAAGGCCTAGGTATTAATTGATACATTTATTTATTGTATGGCATTTTATTAATATTATCATCATCATTACAGCCTTTCATAAGTCCCCTGCTAAACATAGGCCTCCCCCAAGGAATGCCACAAAGCACGGTCCTGAGCCACCTGCATCCATCGACTTCCTGCATGTCTTACCAGGTCGTCACTCCAACTTGTGGGGGGTCGCCCTACACTTCGCCTACCAGTACGAGGCTGCCACTCAAGAACCTTTCTTCCCCATCGCTTGTCGGTTCTTCGAGCTATATGGCCGGCCCACTGCCACTTCAGCTTACTAATCCGTTGGGCTATGTCGGTGACTCTGGTTCTACTGCGGATATCCTCATTCCTAAGTTTATCACGCAGAGAAACTCCGAGCATAGCCCTCTCCATAGCTCGCTGAGCGACCTTGAGCTTCCTCATACGGCCAGCAGTGAAGGACCACGTCTCAGTTCCGTAAGTCATCACTGGCAACACGCACTGGTTGCACAATTTCGTTTTAAGGTTTTGAGGTATGTCTGACGAGAAGATGTGTCGTAGCTTCCCGAACGCTGCCCAGCCGAGTTGAATCCGTCGATTGACCTCTCGGTCTAAGTTGGACTTACCTAGTCGGACTATTTGTCCCAGGTAAACATACTCGTCAACAACTTCGAACTTAGTGCTCCCAACAACTACCGGCATAGGTGTGACATGGACATTAAACATAATCTTTGTTTTGTATATGTTCATCTTAAGACCTATTCGTTGGGAGCCACCATTGAGGTCATTGAGCATAGTGCTTAGGTCCTCCAGCGATTCTGCCATAAGGACTATATCGTCGGCAAATCGAAGGTGAGTGATGTACTCGCCATTGATGTTGATACCGTATCCTTTCCAGTCCAGAAGTTTGAAAACGTCTTCCAAAGCAGCGGTGAAGAGTTTCGGGGATATAATCACCAGCTGATTAGTGACCGCCAATACGGTTTTCGTCGGGGTCGATCAGCTGGTGATCTTCTGGTCTACCTGACCCATAGATGGGCGGAGGCAGTAGAGTCCAAGGGGGAGGCGTTGGCCGTTAGTCTGGACATTGCGAAGGCCTTCGATCGAGTTTGGCACAAAGCGCTTCTTTCGAAGCTCCCTTCCTATGGGCTTCCCGAGAAATTGTGCAATTGGATCACCAGCTTCCTTGCAGATCGGAGCATCAAGGTCGTTGTAGACGGTGCATGTTCTGACTACAAGCCTATTAACGCTGGTGTTCCACAAGGCTGTGTGCTATCACCAACGCTGTTTCTTCTGCATATCAATGATATGTTGCTAACTGGTAACATTCATTGCTATGCGGATGACAGCACTGGTGATGCTCTATACACCGGCCGTGCCAATATTTCTCGGGAAAACGTCACCGAGTACCGGAACAAACTTGTGTCTGAAGTCGAGTCTTTGCTGGAAAAAGTCTCGGATTGGGGGCGACTAAATCTAGTCCAGTTTAATCCTCAGAAGACACAAGTTTGCACGTTTACCGCTAAAAAGAACTCCTTTGTCGTATCTCCTCAGTTTCAAGGCACTCCCCTTGTTGCCTCAGCCAGTATCGGTATCCTCGGAGTCGACATATCGAGTGACGTGCAGTTTCGTGGTCACTTGGAAGAGAAGGCCAAATTGGCCTCTAAAAAGCTTGGCGTGCTCAGCAGAGCGGGACAGTATTTCATGCCGGCACACCGCCTGCAACTTTACAAGGCGCAGGTTCGGCCTCACATGGAATACTGTTCCCATCTCTGGTCAGAGGCTCCCCAGTGCCAGCTCCTTCCACTTGACCGCATCCAGCGCAGAACGACCGAGCCCTTTCCGATCGGCTCGATTCATTGGCACTGCGAAGAGATGTTGCATCCCTTTGCATTTTCTTTCGCATCTACCATGGTGAGTGCTCTGAGGAATTGTTCGGATTAATCCCAGCCGCCAAATTTCACGAACGCACATCGCGGCAGAACTCCCGATACCATCCACATCATCTGGATGATTGGCGGTCCACCACTGTGCGATTTAGAAGATGTTTTATTCATCGCACGACTTCCTTGTGGAATCGATTACCATCAGCGATTTTTCCGGACCGATACGACTTAGGGACCTTCAAGAAAAGAGCGTACTCCTTTTTAAAAGGCCGGCAACGCATCTGCAATTCCCTCCCTGGTGTTGCAGTTGTTCATGGGCGGCGATAGTCACTTACCATCAGGTGAGCCGCATGCTCGTTTGCCCCCTCTCCTATAAAAAAAAATATAACGTCACCCTGTCTTACACCTCTCTGCAATTGGATAGGTTTCGTATTCTGGTTCTGTACTCGGATAGCCATCGTAGCCCTACTGTACAAGCACTTCAGCACTTCGATATACCCACAGTCAACTTGGCACCGCTGAAGGGACTGTAGCACCGCCCAAATTTCGACGGAATCAAAGGCTTTCTCATAGTCCACATACGCCAGGCATAGTGGCAAATTGTACTCCTCGGACTTCTGTACAATTTGCCAAAGGGTATGTATGTGGTCTATGGTGCTAAAGCCCTTTCGGAAACCGGCTTGTTTGGGAGGCTGGAAGTCATCTAGTCTGCGCGCGAGACGATTCGTAATGACTCTCGAAAACAGCACGTAGACGCGGCTCAGAAGGGAAATCGGTCTGTAGTTCTTCAAGAGAGCATTGTATTAATATGATACATAAATAGAATGGATGTTACGGGTACGCCTGGGTACAAAATTCTTAGCGATATATTTTTTCACACGGTCTTATCTCTTTTATTAGTTCCGTGGACGTTTACTTCTGCTTTCAGCGACAAAATGGTGAAAATCAAATCGCCTCATTATGTCACGGTTACAGCCAGTCCATATATAGAGGTCAGTGATTCTTAGTTATTGGAAATGAAATATTTTATTTCATCGGTGAAATGTTTCGAGGATATAAAGTTACCCTGCCTTACACCTCTTTGCAATTGAATAGGTTAGTACTCCAGTCGTGTTCGGATAGCCAGCGCAGCGCTATTGCACAAACATTTTAGCATTTCGATATACCGACTGTCATTCGGAAACTACTGAGAGACTGTAGCACCGCCAATATTTTGACGAAATTAATGGTTTTTTCATACCGCACATACGAATGATAAAGTAACAGGTTATACTCTACGGTCCTCTGTATAATTTTCTTAAGGATATGTATGTGGTCTATGATAATAAATCCTTCAGGAGGAAATCGGTCTGTAGTTCTTCAAGAGGGTTGTCGCCTTTCTTGAAGAACAAGACCACCGCACTTTTGCTCCACACCTACAGAGTAGTGCCACATGGTAAGACGGAATTGAAGAGCTTCTGAAAGATTTTCAGTACCGGTTTTTCGCCCGCTTTCAGACACTCAACTGTAATTGTATCCTCACACGGGGCCTTACCATTTTTAAGATGCTTGAGAGCCATTCTTCTCGCTCAGACTAAATTCCGGGATGTCAGTTGGAACGAGATTTAATATTATGAGTGCTGCGTTTAATTTTATTCAAAAAAAATCCACATCACAACAAGTAATAGGGTAAGGAAATGGAGTACATTAACACTAATTCAATAGAAATAAAAAGAACACAACTAAAAAATAACTTACCGCTTGTGAGAAGCAAGTATCACGCCGAGTTTGTAAAGCAGCGTGCTCTCGTGTCCACAGAGGCGCTTCGCAACGTACGCGTAAAGCTGCGTGAGAAATGCGCGCCCAACGGACTAACGTGTCCGCCTCGTGCTTTAAGCCACACACTAAAGATCTCAAATTGTCCATCTCCTCTTCTGTAGCTTCTAATGAAATAAAAAATATCAGAGGGGTTTTCTTTTATTCAGTTTTTCATAGTTACCAACCAATATAATTTAAAGTTATTGCTTTTTAACGAATGCTGCCAGACATCTGGCGTCTTAGATTCTGCTATTGAATATTTTACATCAGGGTGAATATTTTATATACGCTCCTCTTAGTATTTTACTACGGGTTGTAAAACCAAAAGAAAAGACTGTATGATCCTTCAAAAGTTATGGTAAGACGCTCCGGAAATCTTTTACTAAATTAGAGTTTTACAAAAGCATTGATCGTGAGCTCTGATGATGACAGTATACTAGGTCACAGTCATGAAATTATCGCATTGTTACTGAATGTAATTATTACTGAATTACAAAATTCCATTATATTCAAAAATACATACATACATACAGGTCAAATTAAAGCGTTTAATAAAGGCTTTATTTAACGATTTCAAAACCTAAAATATAAGTAGTTTCTTTTTTTTTAAACAGTGGTATTCACTCTATAAATACTAGGTACAGACACAAGCTAGTAGTACCAGTTACTCGGCTTAAATTATAAAAAAATATTATTAATTCATTAAACAAAAATGTTGTATAATAAGGGTTATCCTAATATTAAAGAATTTATGGATGATTATCACCTCTAGGAATGAGGTGATCGCTACAAAGCTATTTCTAATTTTTGTGTACCTAGGGTTAGTTTAATTTCGTAACATAATAAATGTTTGTAAAAAAATATTTTTTTAAATGTTCCGCTGGGTCTTGGTGGTATACCCAGGATATAGGTATTGTCCGAACCAGTAGTAAATTAAACATAAGGATGACTTACAATAAGTATTATTTATAATCTATATTGAGTAAAAAAGTTTCTATTTCTATGACTATTTCTAAAATCGGATTGATAACCATTTGTGTAAAAATCTAATAATATAATAACAATATAAAACAATCCATGTTTAATTTATATATTTTTTTATTTTATTATTTTATAATTCTTAATGAGGTGATCATTAGATAGAGAGATAAACATCACTCCTTGTAATGGCGGCATTACTGAAACTATGATCTTATCTCATCTACCTGTCGTAATCGTCCTTAAGCCACCTCTAACGGCACATAGTCGTTAAAGGCGGCTTAAGAATAGCCCAGAAGATCTTAAGGACTCTGATTAATTAACACATATAACTATCTCGATTTCATACCAAACATAAAATTAACGATTCGGCGACGGGAAAAACAGTTAAAAACTTAAAAGTATACATAAGCAAGCAATAGAGCACGCGTTAGCGAGTATGAACAGAAAACACGGGTATGAACAGTCTCGAAATTGCAAGGGTGACGCTATTAGTCACGAATGGACACGCGCGCTAATTGCTTCTCTCTCCAGTATTGACTTGACTTTTAAGGTACCATGGAAGGATGTGAAGAAACAAGTTCTAATATATTTATTTTCATCTGTAGGGATATTCGATATACATCGATGCATCGAATTCACTCGATGTTTACAATACGATGCATCGAACCGATCCGATGTTTTGGAAAGTTATTGATATACTCGATGTATCGATGTATTTTCATAAAACATCGAATCAATGATAACCATCCAATGGTAAAAAGGGTATACTTATATCACTATTAATATTATAACGTCTAAATCAGAAAAACAGCGCTCTGATTTAGAAGTTATAATATTAAACCTGTTGGTGGCGCTACTTGGCAGCTGTCAGTCCTTAGCGGAATCAAGAAATTGGCTGGTTGGCAACACTGTGCTAAAGAGAATCAAAAAAAATCGTCTGGTCTGTCTCGGTTTTAAGGCGGCTACTCACTTGCATGCCGCAGGGCAATCTAGGATGAACAGCGATCGGGACAATATCAGAATTGTCTCTTTATACACATGCCTGCCGTTCAGTATGAAAGTGTACATCTCGGTGGATACATGCGTTGAGAATGGCGCCAGTTTGCTTGCAGTGCTGCCGTAAAAAAAAAACAAAAAAGAGAAAATGGGTGAAGAAGCCGCTGTTTATACACTTCTATCACCAGTGTCCTAATTTCACATTTTTTATTGATATCTATTGTGAAGTGTGCTGCGCGCGAAAGTCACTAATGAACTGATTGAAATTGTTCCAATTGCGCTACACACGTGGCAGCGGTAGCTATGATCTAGGAAGCAAGGAAGTTCTTGCGCCCCTGCCGCCCAGCCACAGGGCCGACTTAGGAAATTACCCCTGCTTTCATACACACATCACAATTAAGGAGGAAATTAAGGGTAATCCCCACTTCTACACCCTAGATTGCCCCTGCGGCAGGTAAGTGAGTTGACGCCTTTAGACCATTTAACACAGTGGACTCGCCTCGCATGATTATTGCCCTCCGCCAAAGTATTGAATTTAAAAATCTTGTGCGTTGATTAAACCTGCTTACGGAATCGTTTTTATAAACGCACTAGATTTATATCCTTATAAAAATCATTTCCGCCGAAGTAGGTGTTTTTTGAAAAATGCCAATCGGTATGGTTAACGTGTGCATAAAGCAGTCAAATACTTAAAGTTTACAAAAAGATGGAGTTCTATTCCATATGTAAGTATTTTTTATTGTGAATGTATCATTTTTATCATTTAAAATAATATCATAAACATTGACCTACTACTAAATGGACCTCGGCTATGCGCTCAAAAGTGTCCGAGCCAAAAGAGTTCCAAAAAGAGCTCGAATTGAACGCTAGTTTTCCTTTTTTCGCCCGATACACTCCAAATTGCCGTACAGTATCACAAAACGATTAAAACTATTAAATATATTTTTTCGATACTATTTATATTAGACTATTAATATTTAATAATTTAAAAATATTATTTTGTTTAGATACAAGATACGTAGTATTTAATTTAAATTCACATTAATTGTAAAAACAAAAAACCTTACCGATAATTTTCGCTAAAAGCTTCATAAGGCAAAAAGAATGCAGCCTCTGGTTGAAGTTAAAAGGCTGATAAATTGTCGCAAGTAAAATTATATATAATACGTTTGTATAGGTTGACTCGGGACACATTATTCGTGAATTTTGTTCTAGATCCGCCGTCCATTTAGTATTAGGTGAATGATCATAAATAATAATTTATTTATTCTTTATTGCATTCCTTAATATAAAAGAATACAAAGGGAATAATACAAAAAAAAAATCTACCAGTCAACCCACGAGAATTTGACGTAGGTATAGCAGTATAAAATAATAACAAAATAAAAATGATAATTAACTAAGTTATATATTAATTTTACAAATATATAAAACAAATATACTATAGAAATATCTCCTATTTATGCATATATACAAATATATGCATACAGACGTATACATACATATATACACATCAACATACAAATATAAATAATACAAATAAATAACTATGAATATTTACGTCTGTTAACAATATATTAGTTCTTACGAATAAGACACTTTGTGTGTCATGCAATTAAGAATATCTATCTATCGAACTAACATCCTTGAACACACATACACACTCACAAAAGGCGTGCGGGCAGAAAGTACTGATGTAAGAGTAGTAGATCATTCAAAATTGTCGGTTGTTTGAAGTCAGAAAAAGTACTCGATGTTGAAAAAACATCGATGTTTTTAACCGATGCATCGGAATATATCGATGCACAGTTTCGATGCATCACATCGAAAAAAAACATCAATGTATTTTCAAAGTGGACACCCCTATTCATCTGTAAGCAATATTTTGATAAGAAAACACTGATTTTAACAAAATTAATCAGGGTGTCAAAGGGTAATCGAAAGAGTCGACAGCACGTGCTCCCCGCCGCTAGCTCTAGCGGCTTGTGCTGTACCACGATGTACACGTATATTTTGTAATAACATGATTCTCGTTTGTTCCTTCCATTTTAGTGCTTCATCCATTTAAAACCAAGGGTGGGCTGGGCTACGCAAACTGGTTAGAGGTGCAATAAATACCATAGCTTAAATTTTAAATAGATTACACTTATTTTTAATCGATAAAAAAAGTACTTATCTTCGACGATGTTTTATGGAGGTATTTACGTAATTACGTGTGTATTTCCGCGATATTTTAAAATTAATGGATGTTATTCAATAATATATTGTCATTAGAATAAAATATTTTATACCTAAGACTGCAATCAAGCATACAAAACGACAGTATAATAAGTTAACCACTTTTAAGTTTTATGTGTTTTATTGATTTGCTAAAACCTACTTTATAATTATCTACCTACCTAATATTTACTAAATACTTCCCTTATTCTACTTACTAATAACTTAAGCATCAATAATGGCGCATCACTATTCAACCACTTCATCTATGTTTTAGTATCTATAGAACATCTGCTTACGCTAGGGATAGTGGGCAATGAGTGATACACGCACTCTATAGCTTGCTTATGTATACTCTAAGGTTAAATATATGAGACATATTATGGTACTGCGATAACCAATCAACTACGACTTATTCTCCCTACAATTAGAAAAAACCAAGTCCAGCAATGAGCTGATCACAAGCTCTTAGCTGAAAATTTATTGTGAAGAAAAGGATTATCTGTGAAATATTATAGTTCTAAAAAACCTGAAAATAGAAATTTTTCTGAAATTTAAAAGAGCAATTCTCAGAAATTACCTGAATTTTTTTCTGCAGTCTTTGAAGTGGCCTCAACAAATTTAGCAAATGAAACCTCTATGTTAGTTCCAAGACTCTTTAAGTAAGACAGATTACATTCCCTTGCACTCGAATCTAATAAGCCAATACTGGGCAACGATTTCCCTTCTGATTTCACCTCCGTATTCTAAAAATCAAATAAAAAAATAAATTTGTGGAATTATCAGCTAACCTAACCGCGTAATTGCAGTATAAGAATATCCATTCCTCCATATCGTCCAGTGGGTGGCGTAGGAAGCGACAGAGGGGAACTTATCCAGGAAATATGCAGCTGCATCTTCTTAATAACAGCTAAATATAAAATTGACAACAACGTTTGATAAACGTGGCAACTATGGTAAATATTCCCTGCAGCAATTATGCGGCAATTAATGAGTGGGGGCAATGTTCAGAAGTAGCTATTTGATAGGTGATAATGGTAATGAACCCATCAGCATTGCTATCGTTTATAACTTTGCATACTTTTTATTTACACATCATCGTCATCATTATCATTACATCCCTTCACAAGTCTAATGCTGAATGTAGGCCTTCCCCAGGGAATGCCACAAAGCACGGCCCTGAGCCACCTACTTCCTACAAATTCCTGCATCCGTACCAGGTTATCACCCATTTAGTGAGTGTCTTATTTACAACATATTTGTATGAAAAGCCGTTATACGCAACACATTCTACCATTTTATCTTATGAATAGGCATTAGGCATAGCGGGAGATTGTTGTAAGTTTTATTTATAGAACAAAAAGTATGTTGCTTACATAAACAATATAAATATAAAAATACATTAAAGCACAATATGAGTAAAACAAAAATAAACTATAATGACATGAATAAAACATAATAAAAATGTAAGAACCAGTAATAATGGTAATCATTATTTCCTCAATTCCTCTTTATACTATTGTATATGTATTATATTACATTTATGTTAAATGCCATATATCTTGGAACTATTGTAACTAAGCTGGAATGGCTGTGACACTACATTTTAAACTATGCGCAGTATTCGCTCCAGACAATACGGTTAACTTTATTTCACTTTTAAATGTGTTGTATATATTCGCTCTGCCACTTGTATAAAAGTCACACACATATAGGCATTGCGCAGATTTAAAATATTTAACACAGTAGCTTAGCAAGTGTTAAAAAAATTGCATTGCAATAGAGTCCTTACAATTTAGACAGTTAGATAGAAAATCTGCTGAAAACATTTAATCGTACGGAAGAAAGGGCAGTATAAAAGCAAAACCAAAACAAGATTTTAAACCTTAATATAATAAGTATATAAAATAAGTACATAGCCTAAATAGAAAACAACAATAAAAGGAATAAGTAAAATGCAGATCCTGGCTAACAATTGTCCTCCAGATTCAAATATATTATATATGTAGTTGACGATTATGTGTAAGTCTATAATATAACAAGTAGAAGTTATAGATTCTCCCTTCGCATTCCAAACCTGATCCAATAAAATATTTAAATCATGCAATAAAGAAAATAAATTATTTTTTTTTAGTAATATAATAAATTATTTAACAAGAAAATTTTAATTTTTCGCTGACAGCAATTGCCAATAATAAATGCTATAAACATTATAATGATGACAATAATCGCAGACGTTGTCAAAATGCTCTACTTCAGATTTAAAAAGGAAAGAACTGAATAAAAGAAAATTATTGTTTGTGATTTAAAAATATGTAATTAGCTAAATTGCTTAACATATAAAAGTATGAAAAGTAAGAGGCATTTATTCAGCAGTGGACTTGTGATGGGCTATAATGAATGAACGATATTTATTCGTATACACGCGACATGTAAGTACATATAGCTATCCTAAACCATACTATGCATAATACATTATATTAAAAACTAGCTGATCCCCGCGACTTCACTCGCGTGTTAGGGTTTTTATGTTTTTGCGCGGAACCCTAATTATTTTTTACTAAAATAAAAGTAGCGTATGTTACTCCTTATAAAATCAGCTACCTGCCAGTGAAAGTCCGGTCAAAATCGGTCCAGCCGTTTCGAAGATTAGCCAGAACAAACAGACAGACAGACAGACAAAAATTTTAAAAATTGTGTTTTACACCGTACCGTAGTACCGTATATACTTTTATATGCAATTATTAAAAAGCTGTAATTTTGACATTACAAACAGACACTTTAATTTTATTTATTTGTATAAATTAATTTAAAATCACATAAAATGAAGGGACCTATGTCGTGCAGTGAGATGTTTAAAAACTGTTTATTTACATTACACATATGTATATTATGTATGCCGTGTAGTGGCGGTCAAGAATATCCACTACCCCATATCCTCCCGTGGGTGTCGTAAAAGGCGACAAAGGGAAACAGCCAGGAGATGGGCAGCAGCATCTTCCTGATAATAGCCAAATGACAATAAAAAAACTGCGGTTGCCAACCCGCTCGCCAAGCGTGGCAACTATGGCAAATACCCCCCAATGATGAGAGCAACAAAAAAACGGCCCCCAGTCCCCGGCGGCCCCGCTATTCCTGGCTACGGTGGCGACCATGGTAACGGCGGGGCAGGGGGTGCTAAGAATCTCCGGTGGAGGTTCGGTTGCCACCTTAGACGACTCGACCTGGCAACGTACAACGCACGCACCCTGAGGACTGATGAGAAGATCGTGGAGCTGGAAGAAGAGATAGACAAGTTGCGCTGGCATATTATAGGATTATCTGAAGTCCGAAGAGAGGGGGAGGACACGGTAATCCTCGAATCCGGCAACTTGCTCTATCACCGGGAGGGCGACCATCTGTCCCAAGGAGGTGTCGGATTTATCGTCCACAAGTCTCTCGTTAACAACGTTGTAAAAATCGGGAGTGTGTCGACGAGGGTTGCGTACCTTATACTCAGAATCACCAAACGGTATTCGCTGAAGGTCATACAGGTTTACGCACCAACCTCGGCACACCCCGATGAGGAGGTGGAGGAAATGTATGAGGATATCTCTAGAGCCATGCATTCCTCCAAAACCCAATATACGGTGTTAATGGGAGACTTCAATGCAAAACTAGGCACAAGAGAGAACGGTGAGCTGAAAGTAGGGAAATTTGGAATAGGGCAACGGAACCCAAGGGGCCAGCAGCTGGCCGACTTCATGGAGAAAGAGGGACTCTTTATGATGAACTCTTTCTTCCAGAAGCGGCCCCACAGGAAGTGGACCTGGTCGAGCCCCGACGGTTCCACAAAAAATGAGATTGACTTCATTATGACGACCAGACGACAACTGTTCAGTGATGTCTCCGTGATCGCGAGGGTGAAAACTGGTAGCGATCACCGAATGGTTAGAGGCACACTGAACCTAAACGTTAAGTTGGAGAGGTCTCGTCTAATGAAGTCAACGCTCCGTCCCCCTCGTGCTCTGTTTCAAAGTCCCGAAACCTTTCAGCTCGAGTTACAAAACCGTTTTCAGTGCCTAGAAGACTGCAATGAAGTGGACGATATGAATGACAAGCTCGTGGAAACTGTCCATGCGGTTGGAGCTAAGTTCTGCAAGACCCGCCGCAGAAGAACACAAAAACTCTCCGATCACACTCTTAATCTCATGGCTGTTAGACGGGAGATGAAGCTACATTCTTCAACAGACTTGACAGCATACAGGCATCTGAACAGACAGATCTCCAAATGCATGCGGCGGGACTTACGCAACTTCAATACAGCTCGTATTGAAGAAGCGATCGAGCGGAACCAAGGCTCCAAAGTCTTTGCCAGAGATCTGTCTGCCAGAAAGAGCCAACTGTCAAAGCTGAAGACAGAATGTGGCAGCATCGTTTCCGGGACACCTGAGATTTTGAGTGAGATTGAGAGGTTCTATGGGCAGCTGTACACATCATCGTTGGAGCCACACGCAAGTGTGAGTAACGATCCAAGAGCGAGTCTCATCCGACACTATTCCGAAGATATCCCGGATGTCAGTCTGAGCGAGATTAGGATGGCTCTCCAGCACCTTAAAAACGGTAAGGCCCCAGGCGAGGATGGAATTACAGCGGAGCTTCTGAAAGCGGGTGGAAGACCGGTACTTGAAGTCCTTCAGAAGCTCTTTAATTCCGTCCTCCATGGTGGCATTACACCGGAGGCGTGGAGCAGAAGTGCGGTGGTCTTGTTCTTCAAGAAAGGTGACAACGCTCTCTTGAAGAACTACAGACCGATTTCCCTTCTGAGCCGCGTCTACGTGCTGTTTTCGAGAGTCATTACGAATCGTCTCGCGCGCAGACTTGACGACTTCCAGCCTCCCGAACAAGCCGGTTTCCGAAAGGGCTTTAGCACCATAGACCACATACATACCCTTCGGCAAGTTGTACAGAAGTCCGAAGAGTACAATTTGCCACTATGTCTGGCGTATGTGGACTATGAGAAAGCCTTTGATTCCGTCGAAATTTGGGCGGTGCTGCAGTCCCTTCAGCGGTGCCAAGTTGACTGTCGGTATATCGAAGTGTTGAAGTGCTTGTACAGTAGGGCTACGATGGCTATCCGAGTACAGAACCAGAGTACGAAACCTATCCAATTGCAGAGAGGTGTAAGACAGGGTGACGTCATATCCCCGAAACTCTTCACCGCTGCATTGGAAGACGTTTTCAAGCTTCTGGACTGGAAAGGATACGGTATCAACATCAATGGCGAGTACATCACTCACCTTCGATTTGCCGACGATATAGTCCTTATGGCAGAATCGCTGGAGGACCTAAGCACTATGCTCAATGACCTCAATAGTGTTTCCCAACGGATAGGTCTTAAGATGAACATGGACAAAACTAAGATCATGTTTAATGTCCATGTCACACCTATGCCGATAGTTGTTGGGAACACTAAGCTCGAAGTTGTTGACGAGTATGTTTACCTGGGACAAATAGTCCGACTGGGTAAGTCCAACTTCGACCGAGAGGTCAATCGACGGATTCAACTCGGCTGGGCAGCGTTCGGGAAGCTACGACACATCTTCTCGTCAGACATACCTCAAAACCTTAAAACGAAATTGTACAACCAGTGCGTGTTGCCAGTGATGACTTACGGAACTGAGACGTGGTCCTTCACTGCTGGCCGTATGAGGAAGCTCAAGGTCGCTCAGCGAGCTATGGAGAGGGCTATGCTCGGAGTTTCTCTGCGTGATAAACTTAGGAATGAGGATATCCGCAGTAGAACCAGAGTGACCGACATAGCCCAACGGATTAGTAAGCTGAAGTGGCAGTGGGCCGGCCATATAGCTCGAAGAACCGACAACCGATGGGGAAGAAAGGTTCTCGAGTGGCAGCCTCGTACCGGTAGGCGAAGTGTAGGGCGTCCCCCCACGAGATGGAGTGACGACCTGGTAAGACATGCAGGAAGTCGATGGATGCAGGTGGCTCAGGACCGTGTTTTGTGGCATTCTTTGGGGGAGGCCTATGTTCAGCAGTGGACTTGTGAAGGGCTGTAATGATGATGATGAATGATGTATATTATTAGAATTATAAGAAAACTTTAAGAAGATATAATAAAAACAGGAAAGAAAATTGTGCTAATAGAACAAAAATGTATCACAGAATTACACTTATTAAAACGTTTTTGGGAAAAAAATATATTATACGCACTTTATTATGTTTACATATATATGTATGTAGTTTGTACAACGACAAATATACAAAACGCAAGCAAAACGCCTTCAACAAATTTATTTCAGCCTACAACAATTTAAAAATATATGGTTAATGTAGACATAAAAATTATCGTAAACAAGAGGTACAATTCCGAATACCGTAGTTATTTTCGTCAAATTGTTAGCAATATACGCAAAAAAAAAACAGTATCTCTCTGCAATAAAATATTGAAAACGAGCAAATTGGTTAAATAATTATTTGTAAACTTATCTCTGTACGTATAATTCACATGTAGAACTCAGTTTCACCAACATGTATAATAACTCATACAAGAAAACATATTTATTTAATTTGCTATGTAAATGGCATAAGAATGCAATATAGAAGAACTCAAAATTAAAGAATTCAAAGGTCGCAAGCAAACTAGCTTTGAGCCCGCCAGCACCAATGATATTATAATGCTAATTGCATTTTAAGCGCTGGTTTACCACATGTATGGCGGTGAAGGAAAAACCGTGAAGAAACCAGCACAAATGACAAAATAAAAACAGCAGTGCGACGTATATAAGCTGTAACTATACTATACTACACTATAAGCTTGTTTAGGGTACAATTTAAATTGGACATCATCATCATAATGATAGATTACTATTCACTTTACTTAATTATTTTATTTTCACACATGCTCCATTATGCTACAATGATTGCTAGAAGCTTTATGACTTTTGGAAAGAAATAGTATTAACTAATTATTTGTTAAATAACACAGTATTCGCAAAATTGCTACAACACTAGACGAGAAAGTCATAATTAAATAAGAAACAATAAAGTAAATAAACTTATCAAAGACATTTTGAAATGACTTACCTTTTTCTTGTCATTCCCACTTAAAGTGTCCATTAGACTTTTATAAGAAATTTGTTCAAACGGCGTTGAGTTTTTGAAGTCACTTCTCAAACTACCGTAACGAGTCTTCTTTGAAGTAAAAGATAAAGGGGAATCATTCAATTTCGTTTTAATCGGTGAACGAACAGATCTGAATGAATGATTAAACTTAAGCCGTTCTTCACTATCAAAATAGTCGTTGTGGAACTGTAATTCTGTCTCTTCTATAATATCTTTGAAGGAATCCTTGCAAGTTTTAGAAGTGCCTGGACAAATGTCGGGTACGCTTGTTGATAATGCTGGCACATCACCAGTTGGTGAAGTCTCTTTGGAACTGGAACTGGATGATGCGTTATACGTGTCGCAATCAGAATTTCCCGCATCGAACAAACACAACTGTTCCGTAAGACGCAAAATTGTAGACACCGTCTGGGAAGCAACAAATACACAAACATTTAATCACTAGTATCGAATCATACCTATAAATCATAACAATTAATTTCCTCCATATACTTAAGTTAATACATAAATTATACATTTAAAATAAAAACACATGAGTATAGAAACCGTACCGTACTGAAGCAAAGCTTCATACAACAGCGCTGTGATGGGTACACTACTACAAGCTTGAGGCGCGTGTGTGCTACAGCACTGGAGACTCGCCACGTACAGAGAGAAACTGCTTTAAGCCGGCTCGCCCAGTGCTCAAACTCAGGGTTGTGTTAAAAATTATAAGGATCAAATTTTGTTCTTTAAAGAATAATTCGTATCATATGAAATTTAAAAAAGCATAAATATGGTTTACTAATACCTTACCTAGATTTAAATCTTATCGAGGTTGCGGCAAGTGATACCGCTGATTTTGTAAATAAAATTAATAATTTGTTTCATTTCTTACACTCAAGTACACTGCGATCTACTAATAAATATCAAAGAGTTATTCGATGCGACTGTTATCAAATTGAGTTTATGAAAGAAATACTAATACTTTTCAGGAACTTATAATCAATAAGAAGTGATAGGCAGAAAGATGTAACAAATAGCATTAATTTCATTCACGGATTTCAAGTGGCTTTATTTTTTTAAATAAAACTTCATGAAGAATTAAAATCAGAAGAAATTTAATTAATTTATATTTACGATCTCAATCAAGATTGTCTCATATATTTCTTTGGAAAAGTCAGACAGGCGGGTGGTATTTGCCAGGAAACAACATGACGACTAGTTAGTATTGCCTTTAATAAGATGTTTATAACCAATATCTTATGGAAACTTCAAAATCCTAATTGTGAATACGATTTGGATATGTTACTTATGAAACTAGTCGATTGTCGTATTTTAATACAGCATCACCGCAACCTAACGATGTTACTGCTCCTATGTTAACAATAGGAACAAATGACTACCATTTGATTTGATTTTTATTTACCAGAAAAAAATGGTTTAGTCTATGTGTCGGGATATTTGTATAGAAAATGTTGTCTCGAACACCACAAATGTGCGAATATAAAACTGTACGTTAATAGGTCTGAACAACCTATAAATATGGGAAAAATTCTTTATTAAGCCATTACAAGGATTTTAATAAAGATAGTGTTCAATCGCGTTTCTTTATAATACTTTCTGACAATTTTATTGTGTTTGTTGAATCATTTAAGCAAAAATTTCGCGAATATTTTGACCTCGAAACAAACATTATAAATATTGGTAGAAAAATATTAAAATGTGTGCAAGAGTTTATATTTGTTATGAAATGCGAGTGCTTTCCAATAGATTCAAAAAAAAACTTTACATTACATTTAGAATTTACCATTTAATTAAAAGCCACAACAAATTATTAAGTACAATAATTATAAAAATAAATATTTAGAACACGTAGTATGTTAAAAATATTATATCTTTTTATAATATATTTTTATATAATATATTTTTTATTTGTTTATTTAGTTTTATCCTCCTGTGCCAACCCTAACAAAATAGGTAAAAATTTTGACAGTTACCTCGAAGCTTCTTTACTCATGTGATAAAAAGTAAATAAATCTATATTTATAAAATAATGCATATTATGAGTTGCTTTTTCAAACTTTATATTATATAATATTAAAGTAATACCTGATTCTCGGAATCATCAGTGCAAGTATTCTTCGGCCATCCAATATTTGCTAACATCTCTTCTACTACACCCGGCTCCCATAAAGCAAGAATGCTTTTTATCTTACACTTAATATCTGTGAAATTACATTTAATTTGCATAGCATCGAGAAGTAAAATATTGTATAGTTAAGACTCATGACATTAGAAAATTCAAATCATATATAATTGTTCTTTTTTTTCAATCTCAAAGGGAAATCATCTCAAAATTCATGCTGACATGAGTTCAAGGAGCTTAACATTTATTTTAATATAGTTCACAGGCAAAGCAACCGATATAAAAAGGACCTAATACGCTTTCTAGAGGAATTTGAATGAGCGATTTGATTTCTGTTTGTTAAGTAGGGATTTTATAAGATTAAGTTTCTTGTCTCATACTGTGTTTATAATATATTATAATTTCCTAATTAACAAAAATCACGTTTGACAAAATGAGAAGCCTTCGAAATCTGTCTTTATAAATATTTTTTGAAATCCAATACTCGATACAGGACTTATCAAAAATGCGTGATTAGCATGCATAACTGTTGTTTCTAGTCTGTGCAGGTTAGTGAGTCCAGGACCGATGCCATGGCAATAATGATGAGGATTTTCATAACTGCATCAGTAATGCAGTTATGAAAATCCTCATCATTACTGCCCATCATAAGTCTTGTAATATCGTCGTCCCTCCATCTAGCCCTACACTCCGCTTACCCGTTCGGGTCTGCCACTCGAGGAACTTTCTTCCCTATCTGTTGTTAGTTCTACGAGCAATATATATATTGTGTCTATATAGAATATTTTAAAAAAAGTAAAATTAATACGTTTACCTTCAGTAACTGTAACAATTTCTGCATTCTGCTTCGCCTGCAGAAGCACAAGAATTCTGTCCATATCCGTGCCAGCTTCATCACATAGTCTGCGGAGCGCTATCACGTTGTCGTACTCCGCTTGTATTTTGTTCGCAGTTGCAGAGTTCAACGCCGCTTTTGTGCTATTTATATCTTTTACTTGTTGTACTAACCTGTTTTATTATTAATTTGAATAAACACAACAACATTTGAAAAAAGAGTAATAATCATATTGTAATGTTATATGTAACATATGCAACCAAAATAGAAACAATACTATTAGAATGTATGTTTCATAAAAGAGAAAAAACTTAGGTTGAAAAATATACATTTAAGCATTTCTTTAAATTATTTTTATATGATTGATGGCCGATATTTCATTCCTCAGATAAAATAAAATTATAACCTGTCTGAAAACAAAAATGAAAATGCAGGACTATTTTGTTCGTACAACCGTAGTTTTTAATTTGTTTATGTTGTATTTAATTCTATGAATAACCTTTATATAAGGATAGAAGTATAAGAATGTTTTTATATCATGCATTTTTTAACATTCTCTTATTCGGTTTTACTATACTGAGAGATAACATCACACATCACAGTAACAGTTTTAACAAGTCCCCTGGTGGTTATAGATCTTTCCGAGAATGCGCAAGCTGGCGTTCATTACTTTTTGCGTTTTTATTCAGATTTTATCATAATATATCAGTATAATATAGTAACATAAAATATGAGGTATGGCCACATATCGAGAGTAGAGCACTCCCTCACGTTGTGAGACGTGCAATAAGTCGGGGGATTATAATTTATAACCCATAAGCCGAGAGATAACAAACCTTAAGCTGAATATCGGAATGATTCCTAGCCAAGCAAAACATATGTAGGTGTTGCGCTCGTCAACTCAGCGTAGTGAATATAGACATATCTTTCAAATACTTCATGCCAGTAAGCAAACTTCCAAAAAGTTCTTTAAGTAATTAAGTGAATCGGTTTAAGAAGTTAAACGGAAACTCGCCTAATCAGTCCACCAGTTCTATCCGTTTTGTGCGTGTGTGCGGCAAACGCGCCCACCGTCACCACGTCGTGAAACCCGGTCTTGTTTAACGTATCATTATGTACCCACATTCTTTGCAGGTGTAAATTCACAGGAGCAAACTCGAGGCTCGCATCATCTGTAAGATTAATATGTACATATCAGAACATGTTTAAATATACATTTATTATATCAATAGTCAATAGTAAGGAATAAATTATTAATTCATTGAAGTCATCAAAAACATTTTTATAAAATGTAATATTTTTTTAAATTTGCAACTACATCGCGTAAAACATTTATTGTCTTACTGTTACATTATTATCCAATTAAATGTATTTAAAAAGGATTGGGAGAAAACTACTTTTAGTAATGAAACTTAGTTTTCGAAATTAAATTTAAAAAATTCAAAGTCAGCGCTGGCGCCGCCCGCCATTTAAAATTAATGAACAACTATACAACAACACGTACAATTACGACACGCATATATTTTTGTTAAAAAGAGAAATGAATGTTGACGTGTTGATTGTACGGAAGACGGCATATCATGGGTAACACTTGGATACTTTTAAAATCGCTCTTATCTATACAAATAAATGAAATTGAAGTGTCTGTTTGTAATATCAAAATTACAACGTTTTACTAAATGTATATGAAAGTATAAACAGTACTTATAACAAAAATACACTTTTTTAAATTTTTGTCTGTCTGTCCGTTTGTCTGTCTGTCTGTTTATTTCGGCTAAACTCCGAAACGACTGGACCGATTTTGACGGGACTTTCACTGGCAGATAGCTAATGTCATAAGGAGTAACTTAGGCTACTTTTATTTTAGAAAAATAATTAGGGTTCCTCGCTAAAAAATGAAAACTCTAAATTACACGCAGAGAAAGTCGCGGGGAACAGCTAGTTACAAAATAATAATGTCGGTACAAATCATGGAAGACAGCTTTTGTCCACCCGATCCCTAAAAAAGGCAACCGCTCAGACCCGTCCAACTACAGGCCTATCGCCATCACCCCCTTGTTCTCCAAAATAATGGAATCCATTATTAACTGCCAGCTCATCCGGTACCTTGAGGATCACCAGCTGATTAGTGACCGCCAATACGGTTTTCGTCGGGGTCGATCAGCTGGTGATCTTCTGGTCTACCTGACCCATAGATGGGCGGAGGCAGTAGAGTCCAAGGGGGAGGCGTTGGCCGTTAGTCTGGACATTGCGAAGGCCTTCGATCGGGTTTGGCACAAAGCGCTTCTTTCGAAGCTCCCTTCCTATGGGCATCCCGAGAAATTATGCAATTGGATCACCAGCTTTCTTGCAGATCGGAGCATCAAGGTCGTTGTAGACGGTGCATGCTCCGACTACAAGCCTATTAACGCTGGTGTTCCACAAGGCTGCGTGCTATCACCAACGCTGTTTCTTCTGCATATCAATGATATGTTGCAAGCCGGTAGCATTCATTGCTATGCGGATGACAGCACTGGTGATGCTCTATACACCGGCCGTGCCAATATTTCTCGGGAAAACGTCACTGAGTACCGGAACAAACTTGTGTCTGAAGTCGAGTCTTTGCTGGACAAAGTCTCGGATTGGGGGCGACTAAATCTAGTCCAGTTTAATCCTCAGAAGACACAAGTTTGCGCGTTTACCGCTAAAAAGAACCCCTTTGTCGTATCTCCTCAGTTTCAAGGTACTCCCCTTGTTGCCTCAGCCAGTATCGGAATCCTCGGCGCCGACATATCGAGTAGCGTGCAGTTTCGTGGTCACTTGGAAGAGAAGGCCAAATTGGCCTCTAAAAAGCTTGGCGTGCTCAGTAGAGCGGGACAGTATTTCATGCCGGCTCAACGCCTGCAACTTTACAAGGCGCAGGTTCGGCCTCACATGGAATACTGTTCCCATCTCTGGGCTGGGGCTCCCCAGTGCCAGCTTCTTCCACTTGACCGCATCCAGCGCAGAGCGGCTCGAATCGTCGACGACCGAGTTCTTTCCGATCGGCTCGACTCATTGGCACTGCGAAGAGATGTTGCATCTCTTAGCATTTTCTTTCGCATTTACCATGGGGAGTGCTCTGAGGAATTGTTCGGATTAATCCCAGCCGCCAAATTTCATGAACGCACATCGCGGCAGAACTCCCGATACCATCCACACCATTTTTAGTTATGAATGTGTGAATACATATTGAATAAAACTACTTTTACGGATTTTATCGCGTTTAATTAAGTTATTTTATATTCCCGAAGTTTCGGTTGCTTTCTAGCAACCGTGGTCACGGGGGACTGAGATGATTGACGTCCCGATGTCAAAGTTAACCCGTAGTTTTTAATTATTAATTTTGGTCCGATCTACGCAGAATGAACTAACTGTGTCTTGAAGTCTTGGAGTGGTATGCTTGAGTTTAGTTTTAATTTTATGAATTACAGGATCCCAAGCAGGTGGTAGTACCCAGCCTCCCTCTCTATTGAAATTAGGATGTTTTTAATTTCAATAGCCTCACGTATCATCCTTGGCAGGAATCGATGTTATTTCGCGAGAACTTGTGGTTTATCAAATCTTATGTAATGGCGGGGGCCGTCTAGGATGTGATCACAAATTGCAGACTTCCCCGAACGTTGGTGCTTCACGTCAGCTATGTGTTCCCCCGTGACCACGGTTGTTGGAAAGCAACCGAAACGTTGGGAATATAAAATAACTTAATTAAACACAATAAAATCCGTAAAAGTAGTTTTATTCAATGTGTAGTGTTCGCGTAAATATAAGAAATCATTATGTGTGAATACATCTTTATTTGAAATACAATGTTACATGTACAGTCTTCTACCAGATGATCTACTTAGTCCCTGTCTAGTTATTAAAAATCAATCAAATTATAAATCCAGCAAAGATATGATCATATTATGTTATATGACCTAGGCTCCTATGGGCACAGTATCCACTTACCATCAGATGGACTGTGCGCTTGTTTGACACCCCATACTTAAATCAAAATGTAGAAGCAACAAAATGGTTGAGGAACTAGCAGGAAGAGAATTAATAGAATCAGGCGTTACTTTGCGGAAATCCATTACATAAAAGCTTTTAGAAAAATTTACTTCGCAAATATCCGCGTTATAAAATAAAATGATGTGTCTTACCTAACATGAAAAGCACCTCCCGCCCTCCCTCAATTGCGTGCACTATCCCCGTCACCACTAATCCCAGCACCGCTACTCCCAACATCACTACACTAGGCAAGACACACCACTGACGATAATACGACACGTGTTTTGCCTCTACACGAGGCATGCTCAGGTGATATAGACTCTACGATGGCTAACCGCTAAGTGAGCGGCGAGCCAAAACAAGTGCCTTTTATACAGACCGATGACGCAACCGGTCTCTACTTAAGGAGCGAGCGACTGCGTCATGCGATAAAACATGCGACCAATCACCGCCGGACTTACGCAGCCGTTTGTAAAATTAAAAACAAACTGCCGCGCAACGCCCTCCCTCTAACCACGCAACCAATCGCCGAACACCGTGAGGGTGACAAACGACCATATTGCGAGGCTCTCTATTATTAGAGAGCAGGCTTAAAGATATTTAAGAGAGGTGAGTTAGTAACATTTGTTTGTTTATTCAGCAATGCAACGGTACAATTGTTACTTTTTAATATATCTAACTGTTCCAGCACACACAGCCGCAGCCCTTTATTACACGTATGTCAGACTTTAAAGGAGTGGTCGTTGACTAGGTTGTGTCCAGTGTCCAAAAGATGTTTGGCAAAATGGGATTTATCGGGATTGCAATTCCTGTACGCGGCTAAATGCTCTTTGTAACGTGTTTCGAAATTGCGACCAGTCTGACCCACGTAAACGGCGTGGCATTCGTCACAAACAAGTTTGTAAACACCTGACTTTTGACGAATATCCAACTTATCTTTATTATTACAGATATTTCTAAGAGAATTGTTTGTTTTGAACGCCACGCCGTTTTGTTGAAGAGTATTAGCTACTTTTTTCAAAAAATCTCATTAACAATTTAATTAAAAAGAAACAAAAGCATGTTGTTCGCAACTCTCTGTACGCGGTTCAACCTCAGTGTTAATCGATATGTGAGCAGTTTGACCTGCTTAGGCCCCATATCTGAAAAAGTAGCTAATACTCTTTGACAAAACGGCGTTTATATGGCGTTTAATTGGTCGCATGTTTTATCGCATGACGCAGTCGCTCGCTCCTTAAGTAGAGAGCGGTTGCGTCATCGGTCTGTATAAAAGGCACTTGTTTTGGCTCGCCGCTCACTTAGCGGTTAGCCACCGTAGAGTCTATAACACCTGAGGATGCCTCGTGTAGAGGCGAAACACATGTCGTATTATCGTCAGTGGTGTGTCTTGCCTAGTGTAGTGGTGTTGGGAGTAGCGATGCTGGGATTAGTGGTGACGGGGATAGTGCACGCAATTTAGGGAGGGCGGGAGGTGCTCTTCATACTAGGTAAGACACATCATTTTATTTTATAACGCGGATATTTGCGAAGTAAATTTTTCTAAAAGCTTTTATAGCAGGAAGAGAGTCTATTATCTCTTTGACATTAAATGAAACTTATTTTACGGAATTTGTCGTGATTAATTTTAACTTTTGACATCACCCATGGTCACGGGGGGGGGGGGGGGGGACTGAGGTGTTTGACGTCCCGATATCATAGTTAACGAAGGCTACCTTCAACTTTTAAGGTAGCGACTAGTGTTATTCTAATAGCAACCTAATAAACTGGGATCCGAGCTAGGGTATGCTGATTTCATTTCGACTTTAATACAAAAATGGCTCTGCGGTTTTATCGCAGACGGTAGTGCATATCTAAGTTTAGCTATTATATTAGTTTAACTAGCTAATATTAATATTTAGCTATAACTATCGCGGGCCGTTTCCTGCGACAACCTGAACTCATTGTTGTAGACAAAGACCAAGACTACTAGAAGTACTAAGTAAATTAAGTTCCAGCCTATATACGCTTCTCTCCTGGGCATTTCTCATTACTAAGAAGATTTTAGGGTTGATTGTACTGCCCCAATGCGTGTTAGTTAACTTTACATGTCTTCAAAATATCTGTTTATTGGTCTTTGGCAAGTTTTCTTGCGATGTTTTAGAATATGAGGTGAATCAACGCTTAAAATTGAAGTTTTAAGCGTTGATTTACCACGTAATTTCATTAGTACCAGCTAGATCGAACCCGGGTTGCTCATGTGTTATGAAATTTACACCGACCGGTTTTAGGCACACACCAATAATTAGGCATTCATTTTACTATAATAATAATTTAAAAAAAAATCGAATATCACATATCAATATGTGAATAATAACATAATTGTAATAAATTCCCAAGTCAAAATGATTGGGAAACGGAGTTTGCAAACGTATTTTGTGTAATTGCAGGTCTAAATAATAATAGATATTTTACCACATGAAACAGACATTATTTACAGATTTTTATAGAATTCCTTATATTAAATTTTACTTACCCTTTTTACTACTGGCTTTATAGTATGGATTTTCAGCAATTTGAAGACACCGCTTGGAATGACAATAATGTTTCAATAAAGAAACATGTGTGCTGGCCAAATCCAACTGCCGAGTCTGCCATTGACCACTAATATCCCCAACAGACAACAGCTCCTCCAAGAGCTCTTTTTCCCTTTGTATAAAAATATCACTGAAATAAGAAATACTTTATAAGAGAATGCTATGCTAATTATTTCGAATGATCAAAGTTTTTAAACCACTCGCACTTTTAACTTTTATAAATCAACTATGCAGTTTATAATATGTATCGTAGTTAAGTCTGATTTTTTCTTCTATAAACATAGTATAAAAACAGTCGCATCCCGCCGTCTGTACGCTTAGATCTTTTAAACTTCGCAACGGATTTTGATGCGGTTTGATTCAAGAAGAAGGTTTATCTTTATAATACATGCATATTATATTACATATAATTCTTCTGTCCGTCCGTATGTGACTGAACGGCTCAATCGATTTTGATGAAATTTTGTGTGTGATTAAGTTGATTCGATAAAAGTTTAGATTCACAATTGGACCCGGTAGGTAGGGTTGTTGCAGAGATCCAGAAATCACCCAAGCGAAGTTCGCTAATTATATTATAAGAGGAAAACTAGTTAGTCGTTTTCTCTTAAAGCCTAAATTAATATTAAAAGAAATCCTTATTATGCCCTTAATGGATTAAATTAAAGGCATAAGTAATGCTTATTAAATCCATAGTTAAATAAACAGTGCACAATTGTTCACCGTCTTTAAGAAATAAGAATTTAAATAAGTACTCACAGCAATTGTACAGGCATTTGAAAGCAAAGTTTTGGCTCTGCCATTATATCGTGTACAGTTATATCGCCACCGAGACCCGAATGAAACCTAAAAGTCACTTGATGACTATTCACAAAATTTTGTTTCAACACACTGCCATATGAAGGATACTTTAATTTGAGTCCCAATCTAGGAGGTAATGACTGGGAACGCCGATGGCACAACACTTTTTGAGGTATATCTACAGAATTCTTTTCGTTAGAGTGGTTCGGGCTGGTTCCTATGTACGATGGCTCCAGACTCCACCCGTGTATGGTCACAAACCCAACAGTTTTGTTTTCACGAGTCATCAATGCAACTCGTAACCTTTGGGCTTCCTGAGCGAAAAAATACATTTAATTCAATTAAACATTAAAGAACAAACATATAGTTTTCAGAAAGTGATAGAATCCCATTTTTGACTACGTGTACGTCTGAGTAGGTACCCCCCTTTTGCCTATTTTAATGCCTATCAATGTCATTTTCCGGTCGGAAAGTTATTAATAGGAATAATATAATAATAGATATAATAATTAATATTAATAATAGAATATTAATAAGAATACCCAACCAACATAGTTACAGACTGTGAGGCAATCTATTATGTTACTTTGGGGCGACTATTCATATGTAGCTATTTTGTTTTAAGTTAATTGCAGGTGTCTATTGGCTTAACTGCATCAGGTGGACTGTGAGTTCATTTGTTATTACTTTAATTTTCTTTAAAAAAAATTAGCAGTGCTCGCCAGAGTTAAGAAAAAAATATTCATTGCAAATATAATATACTTAAACAAATTAAAATTACCTGTATCGTGCTAAGCTGCAATGAGGTGAAGCCCATGGGTACAGCAGTCTCAGTTACTTTTTCCTTAACATTGTATACAACTATCCTGATCATGGCTTCGCCAGTCAACCCATCACTGGCTCGAAAAAGTATTGTCTTCGAGAAACAGGGATTGCTGCTTGTCTACAAGTATATATATATATTTAAGGTAACTGCACTTCCTCAAGGCATACTTTTACAATCAGAAGAATCAAATTCATGCATATTTAACTTATATATTAACATGGTTATACAATAAATTATAATAAATATAAATAGGCGCCAATTGAAAAGGAATTTTATTGGGCAAATTGACGATATATTGAAAATTCACCAAATTTAAGAGTAATCTTCACCAACGAGCATTCATTCATTCATTCTTTCAGAACATCCCATCAAAATTCACAGTTGAACATAGGCCTCGCCGTAGATTGTAGCATAAGGGGAATATTTTCCATAGTTATTAAGAAGCCGCTGCTGCCCATCTCCTTGTTTTTCCCCTCTAGCGCCTCTTACGACACCCGCGGCACGATATAGAGTAGCGTATATTCTTACATCGCCACTATACTTTATTTAACTTACGTATTAAGTACAGGATAAAAAGGCGGACTTAATGCTAAAAGCATTCTCTGGCAGTCAACATTAGGGCAATGATAGAATTACGAAGGCGATTACAAAGAAATATACATACACATATACATATTATACATACATATATGTACATGGTTATGCATATATAGTTGTGAAGTAGGTGAGAGAGATGTGTCAAGATCAAGCCAAAAGTAAATCCGTAATCTATGTCTATCTCTCTGAGTGACAACTGTCTAGTGACGTGAGTACTAAATCTTGAGAGGCACACCGAACGACTTAATGTTAAATTAAAGACTAATGAAGTCAACGCTCCGTCTCACTATCGTTTTAATCATAAAGCCCCGCAAATTTGAGCTTTGAACACAATGGACTATGTAAATGACAACACGCTTCTGTAAAACTACAGATCGATTTTCTTTATGAGCAGCGTCTATGTATGGTTTATGAAAGTCATTACGAATAGATTTCCATCCTATCAAAGACTAATTGTACAGAAGTCCTTTAAGTGTACTCTCTCTCTCTCTCTCTCTCTCTCTCTCTCTCTCTCTCTCTCTCTCTCTCTCTCTCTCTCTGCCATTGACTTGTGTATTAGGAATATGAAAAAACCATTGATTCCTTGCCCTTGCCCTTGCCAGACTGACTCAAATGCGTGTACAATGGGAGTTGCGCTGGCTATCAGAGTACAGAGTACGAACCTATTCAATTGCAGAGAAGTGTTAGGGTGCGTACAGATGAAGTAATATGTTGTGTAACTTGTGTTTTATAACACGTCCACATTATGTTATATTGTTTTTCAACATTGTAACATATAACAATACTGTACTCATTAGAATAACAATACAATATAACAATGTTGTATTACATTGTCGTTTGTCATTCTGCAGTGTTATTCACAATGTAAAAGCTTGTAATAATAAAAATACCATAAAAACTAATTCTTCAGTCAATGAGCACCTCTGGAGTACCCGCCTGTTTAGTAGAGTGAACCTTATTTTTATCCTTTAAAAAGTACATGTGTACGGGATAAGTTATATTTGTGTCACGTTAAATAACACGTTTTATAACATTAAGTCTCCATATTACTGAAAGATGTTATATAAAAACGTTTTATAACATGTTGTTATATAATATGTATGCACCGTAAGACATGGTAACGCTATATCCACAAAACTCTTCACCGCAGCATTGGAAGACGTTTTCAAGCTACTGGACTTGGAAAGATACGGTATTAGTATCAATGGCGACTGCATCAATTACCTTCGATTTGCCGACGATACAGCTATCATAGCATAATTACTGAAGAAACTTATTGGCTCAATTACCTAAATAGTGTCTCTCAACAGATAGGTCTTAAGATGTACATGGACAAGACAAAGGTTATATGTAACGTCCACGTCACACCCATGCGGGCAGTTGTTAAAAACAATACGCTCGAAGTTAACGCCAATTTGATGTTCACTAATGTGTAGTGCGGCGTAAGGAAATCCCTTACTTCATGATATCATCCCGTGGGTATCGTAAGAGGCAACAGAGGGAAATGAAAGATGAGTACCAGCACCTTCCTGATGATAACTCCTCAAAAATAATAAAAACTGTGGTTGCCAACCTATGAGACAATCTATGAGGGAGATCTATATTCAGCAGTGGCACTTCAGTGATAGGCTTGCCATATATGTCGACAAACCGACCACTGAAGATTCTAGACTGAGAACCTCGTACTGGAGAAAACAGAGTAGGATGACCCCCTACTAGGTGTAGCGACGACTTAAGACATGCAGGAAGTTGATTGATACAAGTGGCTCAGGGTCGTTCTTTATAGCTCAGGGCTGTGCTTTGTGTCGTTACTTGGTAGAGGGCCATAAAAGCCGTGGACTTCTGAAGGGCTGTAATGACGATGATGAATGGTACAGGGTTATCTATGAGATTGCCGTTTTGTATGGGAAAATTAAAATAATTTATTTATACAAAAATTACTATTTAGACAAAATATTTCTCTAAACTAATTAACACATTCTTGCTATTTTAGGCAGGCAGTTTGTTGATGGCTTGCTATAGAAGTAAACTCTTAAAATGAATAATTTACTGTTTTTTCGGAATTGAAATGTTTGCCTATCAAAAAGTTAACTAAACTATGTAAAAAGCAGATGTCTGTTGTTACAAAGTTTAGGGGATATGATGGATGAGGAAGGTTAAAATTTTCCGAACGAAAGCGATTGAATCCATATCGCATAGTTTGTTCGTTAATAGTACTATGTCCGTGTATGTCATTGATATTGCGTGCCGTTTGCGATGCATTGTTTTCACGTCGGCACTCGTATTCAAAAATAACAAGAATTTTCTTACAGGGCATGGTTATAAATATAGCGATAATGCAGAAAAAATACCAACGAAGCAAAACAAATCAAAAAAAATTATTTTGAAAAACGAACATCATGCCTTAAATAAAAATGTATTTGAATTTAAACAAAAAACTTTTGAAGTCGAACAATAGCTGCTACACTTCCAGTTCAACAAAACGGCAATTCCTTACGTTAGCATAAAGACCTACTATCTAATACCATTCATATGACAATGGAATACGACATAATAAAAGATTTTAATTATACTTTACATGCTACACATACTACGACATGACAAAAAATATAGTCTATGGTTTTTATTATTTTGAATTTTGAATTTACTTTTATATTATCATGAAATTGAGTATACTTTTTACAAGTCTTGCTTACCTCAACTATCTCGGTAGTACCATATTTAATGCACACCTCTTTAGAATATTTAACGTAGACAACAATAAGTGGAGAAGGGGGTTTACCATAAGAATCACACAAAAGATTATCACAAGATAGGGCCAACTCGCATAGTGGAATTTCAGTCATATCTGTAATATACACATATAATATTTTCATTAAGAATTATCATTAAAATAATGTATGCATGGCTAATTATAAATACTGGCAATTGTCTAATATTTAACTAGAATTTTCTTATTATGTGGTCCAATTATGATTGGTTTAATATTAGAAAATATAATTCTATGGTCTGGTGCAAAAAGGGAAAATGTACATTTTTGTAAGAAACAAGACTTTTCTGTCAAGTCATACAAAAATTATTAAATTTCTTCGTGCTTATACGGCGTAGCTCTATCACTATCACCACTCCTCCAATGATATTATGCAAATTGGTGGGCAATTTCTCACTATCAAATCAAATTTTAATTATGTTAAAAGGCTACAGCCCGGCTAGAATGGCCGGGGGATAAAAATTTTATCTCCCTATTATATCCACTGACAAGAGATAAAATTATCTTGTTATGTCAAACGGGGAGAAGTATATCTCCGTTTGACATAACGAATAGACATATATCCCCCGTCCGTAGCATGGAGCCAAATGAAAGATAAAAAATTATGCTTTTTGACATTTGAAAGGGACAATTTTATCCTAGTTCATTGGACGTGGGTTGAAGTCTATATTCATACAAAAAAATCTACCTAAGTCTAAGTCTATCTGCCAATTTATCTACTGTGGATATTGTATCCACCGGTGTACCCATGCTCTAAGGGTGGATAAAACTAAGCGAGGAGATAAACATTTTCTTCTTTCCCAGGGGATAAAATTGTCCCCCGCCCATGCTAGCCTGGCCGTACACTTAAGTCGATACGAAATAACTATTTTTCACTTTATTAACTTCATAGTCGGAACTAAAATGATTAAAATAAAATAAATAAATAAAATGAAAATAGTTATCTTTTGCACTATAATGCACAACAGAATCTTAGAAAGTGAAGTGAGACAAAAAAGTTTGCTCTACTTATTGGACAAAATGTATTTATATTTCAGTAAGATAATTAAGGCCCTGATATAGTTATATCCCTAGGAAAATAGCTATATACCGTAATAAAGTTATATGAAAGCGGTTCATAAATATCTTACTAGACTAATCTAGTGAAATAATAAATTAATATATTATATTTAATAATTATATTAATCTAGTTAAATTCTTTCAATATTACATTTTATATCGTTATAATGTACGCGGTTTAGGCCCTTGGGCACATCCTAGCCGCATGTTAACCTACATTCTCAAAAGTAACATGAACAACAACACAACAGGAACGTCAACGTCGCGAAATTTGTTCCTCCTGTACATTCAGTATACAATTATAATCATTTCACTAAATTAGTCTAGTAAGATAGTTATGAACCGCTTTCATATAACTTTATAACGGTATATAGCTATATCCCTAGGGATATAGCTATATCACGGCTTTAACTATCTTCCTGTAACATTTACAAATTTCATAATTTCGATTCTAAACAAATTCTAAAGAATTTAACGAATGTGGTGAAGCCATGCTCCAGCTATATTAATTGCATAGTTCTGGCACGAATGGGTCGGCTCGAACGGGAAAGGACCACGCTCTCACAGAATACTAGCGTAAAATAGCAGCTCACTGCTGATGTGTTTCGTATGGTGAGTGTAGAGAACCGGAGACCCTTTTTACTGGAAACGAGGCACTTCATCTTAGTCCTCACGGGTGACAACGCATCTGCATTTTGATTCGCAAACGAGGATCGATGTAAATGTCTACGGGCCACAGAAATCACTTATCATCAGGTCGACTATGTACTCGCTTTTCACCCTTATCCTGTAAAAAAAAATCTACTAGTTCCCCAATTAAATATCAATGGACCCAAAAATACGAATTATGGGATATCTGGTTCTCACACGAAAAAAGTAAATGTGATATGTGTCGTATTGTCGCATATAATTGTAATGAAGATGAACAAACCCCAGTTAAAGAAACTACTTACTTACTACAGAAGTTTTAGTGGAAGAGTTCAATTTATTATTGAAAAAAGAAAGCCGAGTGCAGACAAACCTTGTTTTTTATTTTCTTATAAATCATAAAATTTCTAAAAAACATTAACTTTGGCCTTTTGTTTTTTAAGCACTTAAATGATGAACTTGGTTAGAAATAAAAATCTTAGTACTAAAGTTATTGGTAGACAATTGAAAAAATATCAATTATTTTTTTACTTTAAAATAAAATGATAAGAGGTTTGCAGTTGTGCGCACATCACTGAAAAACACATCAATGAAAAAGTACTGGATAGATTTCAATTAGGTTTTCTAAGTCTTATTTCTTATACACTTGGCCCTTATCTAAAAAAAAAACTTATTGCGATATCTTCAAGATTTTTATAAGGGGGTTTTCACACGGTCAACTGTACGTCGCTTGCTCTCGCGTTACTAATCCAGATAATTTTAGCTACAAATGGAGCAACGAATAACATACTTTACAAGAAACTATGTCTTTTTCATGTTTTTTTCTTTTTCATTCTTTTTCATCGCGGACGAAGTCGCGGGTATCGGCTAGTGCATGATAAAAATCTTCCAAAAGAACAGATTATTATTGACATGGATAGTTATTGTTTTATTACAGCTAAATATTTAACTTATAACCACCAATGTCTGTCCATTGTTGAAATTCTCAATACCGAAAGCATGGATTTTTGATATTGTCCCTCTTAGCACCAGGTCTCACAATGTATTGCCACATAAACAAATAGGTATTTCATAAAGAAATCAAATATCTGCAGCATTCTTCAATTAGACAGTTAAATCAAATTCTTTTATACATTTAAATAACCCAGGACCAAGAAAAAATTACGTATTTTAAGTTTGTTATAATTAGAACTATGCTAAAAACACCTATCCCCCACTGTAAAACTAAACAGGGACACGGACTCATACCTGGGAACATCATTTGCAGGACACAACAAATTTTGTGAGGGAATGCATTCCCCCATTGGGTTAGTAGTGTGTCCTGCAAATAATAATCCCCTATGGCCTAAACAACTGTAACTAAAAATTTTGTCGCTGCACTATTGTGATATTTTGCCACAGGATACTCACCAGAAGCAATTTTATGCTTGCTTGAAGCACATCCACACATCAATTTTATTGTGTCAGATAATAATAAATCACTATTTTTTATAACTAACTTTATGTAATTGCTTTTTAATACTATTCAACTTACCAGCTATAATGCCCTTCTGTATCCTGTAAGTTAATATATCTAAAATGGGTCTGATCCTGTTCAGTCTTTCTTTCAAAGCAATCAACTGAGAATGTATAACATTATACGGGGCTTTCTGTATGGCTTTCAACCAAAGGTCTCGTTCAGATTCTTGGAATGCTGCCATCCTGTAGCATATTCCATTTTCCCACACTATGAAAGATTTTAAAAATTAATAAAACTTAGAAAATATTTTAAATTATTTTAATAAGGTCCGAATTATACTGGACCAAACAGTGTTCGTAAACCATGAAATAGAAATTCATAACACAATGGTCTTGTTTGTAAAAAGGTTAAACCGGCCTAATCTCAGGGTGTTTTGTATGGTACAAGAAGATTCTACGAAGTTTGTCCAAAAAGGATAAAAGAAAAATTCCTTTTATAATTAAACCCTATGTAGGTGAAGAAGAGTGAGGGCCCCCGAATAAACATGTACACTTCTCCATCACTGTGATAGCTACTAATGGCATTTGCAAGATACCCCTTCACATTCTTACAGAGTACCAGTGTAAAAAACCAGTTTAAGGCTTTGCAAGGTGACTGTAGAGAACTGGAGACTCATTTTACAGAAAATTTGTTATTCCATCTTAGTCCTCGGGTATGACAACGCATCTGAATTTTGATTCTTATTTAAAGAAAGATATAGAAATCTATGAGACACGACATCCACTTACCATCAGGTGGATTGTGTGCTCATTTGTCGCCTTAATTCTATTAATAAGAGATGAATCTATGGTGAAACCAATCAGAGGAAACTAAAATTAATCATTAATAATTAGTATTGGTCAAAAAAAACTATAATAACTTTGGACAGGCCCTACAATATTAAAAGTACTGAAAGCACAGTCAAAACATGTAAATATTCCATGTAATGTTTAAATAGAGGACATTAAATTAATAAAGAATACAAATCAATCAAATAAAAACAGATCATAACAAATACCTGAAAATAAATATAAAAAATTGAGAGGTAAACATATGAGCTAGAATATAGATCTATTTCTTGACTTAACATCAAGCATATGAGTAAGAAATTAAATGTTGAATGTGTAAATATAAATGGCAATGAGCTACCTCAATGTTAATTCACATGACTTTATTAATTTGATTGTTGATTTTATTAATTTAAGGATACTCTCTATTATTGTAGTGATTCCAGTAAGATAACTTGTAGTGCCTTTGTACATTTTAAACAGAATACATAGGGAGAGCGAGTATTTTAAGGTTTAAGCTACATTTGCAAATAAAACTTTTACTAATATGTACATCATACATTTTAAAAAAAAAAACAGAAAAATGTAACACTCAAAGGTAAAGTGTAATTACTATTAGGCCCTTACATATGAAATTAGCGTTTTGTTGTACTGACCACTTTGATCTGAAATATCTCCTCTTTGGTTAAGAATTCCAAATTCATTTAGCTGTTACATTTGAGTTTTGAAAACAGACATTCATTTTTTTTTCCTCATTATTTTTTTCTTTGGCGTCGCTTATTACCGCACAATGGAAAACATAAAATATCGGTATATATACGAGTACAAGTTCTATTTCGAATTCTATTCTGTTTCTGCAGCACTGGTGTGGCACCAAACAGCTCGAAGGATTAATGATGTGTACGGCACTGATGTCGCAAAAGTAAGCACGGTACGTTTTTGGTTACAACGTTTTCATTCTGGAAATTTCAACCTTCAGAACCAACCCCGTGAACAGCCAGAGACCAAAGTGGAAAATGAAAAATTAAAGGCTATTGTGGAAGTGGATCCATCACAAAGCACTTCAGAGATAGCTGCAGGCTTCAGGGTAAGTGATAAACTGTATTAATCCACTTGAAGCAAATCGGGAAAGTAAAACAATTTGAACAATGGGTACCTCATAAATTGAGTGAATCGAACTTGCAAACACACATTGACTGCTGTGTTACTTTGCTCAACTGACACAATAATGAAGGGATTTTAAATTGAATCATTACTTGTGATGAAAAGTGGATACTGTACAATTATTGGAAGCGCTCGTTGCAATGGCTGAACCCTGGAGACCCAGCCAAATCTTGCCCTAAACGATAATTGACTCAGAAAAAGTTACTTATGAGTATTTAGTGGACTAGTGCCCGTGTCGTTCACTACAGCTTTCTAAAATCTGGCCAAACGATTATGACAGATATCTATTGTCAGCAACTGCAAACCATGAAGGAAGAACTAGCTGCTAAACAACCGAGATTGATCAATTGCTCTAGGACATTGCTGCTTCACAACAATGCAAGACCAAATACAGCACAACAAACAATCACTAAGTTAGATAAACTACAATTGGAATGTATGCGACATCCACCGTACTCCCCGGACCTTGCTCCAACAGATTACCATTTTTTCCGGAATTTGAACCACTTCTTACAAGGAAAACAATTCAGCTCCAATGCGGCAGTCCAAACTGCCTTCAAAGAGTTTATTGATTCTCGCCCCCATGGTTTTTTTAGTTGAGATGGCAATAGTGCACAGATAACAACGATGCATACTTTAATTAATTAAATATATTTTACAAAAAAAAATTGACTTTATATTCCTTCCATACAAAACGCCAATTTCATATGTAAGGACCTAATATTAGATCTTTAAATTGTGAGTCAATAATTTAAAGTTTTCAAGTTTTAAGGTAATGAGGATATCTACAGTTGAAATATTGTTACGAGATCAGAGATCACCCAACGGAAGTGGCCATGAGCAGGCCATATAGCTCAAAACACCAACAACCAATGGGTAGGAAAGATATTTATGTGGTAGCCTCACACCAGTAAGTGAAGTGTTGGGTAACCCCTAGTAGATAGCAACAATATGGTTGTTGATGAATGAATAAATGACAAGTCGATGAATGCAGGTGACTCAGGACCATTCTTTATGGCATACCACATAGATATTCCACTCAATATGAGTAAAAAATACATTAACTTTTGACAAAAAGCCGACATCAAAAAACTAATAGATTATCACATTATGAATTTGGGTCTTTAATCTCTATACAGTATGTCTTAGCACTTCCTTCAAAATGCAAAGTTATTTTATTCTTTTTAATACTTTAAAGTCCCTTTTACAGTGATTTTCATTTGCATAAAACACATTACATTATTTTTTATAATACTAACTTTTATCTATGTAGTAACACTCTTTCAACACCACACATAAAGTGGAAAGTACAATTACCTATATCCATTTCATTTTAATTGGCAATTGTATAAATTTTACATTCAAATAAAATAATTTCCTAAGCATAACAAATACCAATTTTTAGTTTAGCACTATTTATAAAAACCAGCTATTAATCTCAGGCTAATTCTTGAACATTCCTTCGAGATATAAAAATATCCCTCAGGCACAAATAGAATTGAGTAATAAAACAAAACATTATATTTTACCTATATGAAATGGCCAGTGTCCATTTTCATCCCGGTTTTGTTCCTTAACTTTATGATGACCCAATACTATGACTCCAACAGGCTCATACCAGGGTTCTGGTCCTTTTAAATAGAATAAAAGGTTGCCCCTGAGCCGAAACCATCTTAGTGAGCAACCTGTAACATTATTAGCTAATGAAACTGAACTTAAAAACTATTTAAAATCATTACTTTAAACGTTAAGAGGTATATTGATAATAGTAATAAAAGATCATCTTTTTAACATTTCATAAATATCTTATAGCTAAATAAACGAAATATTTACTATAAATACATCATTACACAATTTGAGAAAAAATTATCAAAAAAAATAATTTTCAACATTCCTGACATAAATTTATAATGCTAACCTTCAGACCTTCTAAAAAATCCATCCTGTTTTTCCTTTATAACTAATACGCCTTCACGGTCAAAATTCTGTGCTGTTTGAGATGCCAACGCAGCTAATTCCTGCTTATTGTATCTCATATTTATTTGTTGACATAATAGTGGCAAATTAAGATATGACACCTTCAAAACAAAAGGATTTTACAATTTTAAGGTGACCGCCCTATTACAATAGTACATACTTAGACGTATTTCTTACGTACTAAACTACATTTTTGTATCTCGAAGAAGTGATCGTAGTAAGTAAAATTTTTAATTTTCAAATTACATGGATGTTATTTTCTCTAAAACATTTTGGCATTTTTAAAAGTACAGAGGCATTAACATCATGGTATATTTTTTATTAACAATCTGAATCAGTTATCAGTCAAAGAAATTCAAGTCCTTGGTGATAAAAAAGATACTCTGTGGTTCAAGTTATTTCAATTTTCAATTTCAAGTTTCAACAAATTGTCATTTGTCAAACTCAAATCTCATTCGATCTCTGCTCAAAAGAAGGTTTTTCATTTTATTAAGATTTATGGCTTAGATGCTCATCTTTTAATCCATGTCGTCATTTATCCCAATATAAAGTGATAATACTCCTTTATAGTAGTCTGCTTCACAATATGTTGATACGTCACATTGCACAGCCCTTAGGAGATTGTTATAGCAACTTGAGCCAGCAGACAGTTGGCAATGGTATCCAAGGTATCCTATAATAATTGTCTTGGACAGGAAACAATATCTCAAGGTGCCTAAGCTGACAGACACCTCATCTTGAGATACATTTCACCATCGGAGCACTTGTTTCACCATTTCCACTAATAGTTCACATGCGCAGACATTTAATACACAAAATCGCACCACTTTTACACATCAAATAATAAACAATAATACAGGCGCAGCAATCCGCCGCCGGTCAAGTTCCCGCCAAAACTTCTCAAAACAGGATCAAGATCTTAGAGTAATTACACACATACACTTAACATACGTGTGTATAGGGAAAATCTACAAGTCTACATAAATTAAGTCAATATACTTGTCTCCCTTTTTCTAATTTAATGTTCAAATAAGGCAAAAAGAGACAAATGTATTAAAAGATGTAGCGTGTAATTCATACGTGGAAATAGAAATATCAAGTGGTCATGAGAGTAAATACACTAGTATCTTCTGATATAATAGAAAAACGACACCCCTATTGTAGTAGTATTATATGCACAAACTATACTCGTGACAATCTAAGAAGCCCGATTTGACAGCTAAAAAATACTTTGCGTAATGATGGGGGAAAAATTGGATTCTCGAGACATATCGATTATTTAGAGTTTGTAATGGACAATGTATCTATATCGTTTAAAATTGATTCTCAAGGCATATCGTTTTAATACACGTACGAGTTTGTGATATTTAACAGTTATTACATAAATCCAAACTAAGTTTAAATTTGGGCCAGTTCCAAAGCCAAAACGTAAACTAAAATCCGATATACATTGTATATTATGTACGCACGCCACTGATATGCACCCGTACGAAGCCGAGGCGGATCGCTAGTCCAGAATAACATTAACAATAAATAAGTGTGGTTGGGTCAGGTAAATAAATGAATTAACTGAATTCGTAACATTTTTATTCTCAATACTTATCTTAATGCCTACAATTTTTTTTTATAAACCTTCCCCGGCAGATCCAGCATGACAAATAATGAAGCGTCCGCCCTTTCCCATTGGAACTTTTGAGCTGGACGCTTGAGTATCATCCGTCCAAGATTGTGGCACAGTATGATTAGCATTTAATCATGTCTCATCAATAAATATATCCGTGTCCCAGTTGGGTTATTTTAAAAACTTCTCTTAAGAAGGATACTCTTTGTAGCATTATCACCTTTCCATCAATATTTTCCGTTTGTTGGTTTTTTTGTATGAAAACCCAACATTTTTTAGAATTGTTTTTATGGATGATGCACTGCCATCATATTATAAATTTGCAGATTTAAAGGACACAAGTAATTGACTAACGGTGGGGTATTCTTGTCTTGTGTAGTAGCCGTAAACATGTTTGTCACAGGATTTTGTTTCTTTTTTCGCTTTTTGGGTGTTTGCAGTACATTATCTTAACAGCCAAAAGGCCCGTACTTTTCCTTTATAATATTTCGGACAGTTTTTATGCCAATTCTAAGCGCAAGATTTTTCATTTTCTTGCAGTCAACGTTCATACAAAGTTATGGCGGCATGTATGAGAAACGTCAAATCGGGCTTTTTACAGAGGAATATAAAACAGGAGATAGGCAACAGTATCTTCCTGATAAAAATCCAAAATAATAAAAGGATCTCTATCAGACTGGAAGCGGTCACGCGTTAAAGCGTTCCGCGTTCGCGTTCTGCGTTCGATCGTTCAGTTGCTCATGAATTCCGCTCTTGGACGGTCTATGCGGTGAAAAGTCGGAAAAGGAAACATTGGGTGCGCCGCGTATATGAGAATAAAACGGAGAATTTCATAGACTTTTTTCTAAACGGCTTACTGTATTTTTCTGTCCCCATTTCTCTGGAAATTTCTAACCATGCTTCTGCTACTTTTCCTCGGTTTTTATAATCATCATTCTTCACATCATATAAAAAACACCTTTCTCCTACTTACATAATCAACATTCCCATCTCCATCTTCCTTCCAATGTTGACACCGAAACAGCAGTGAATGCGCAAATGCGTTCGTTCTGGTTGACCGACGCAATCAGAATACCTGCTGTCTGGGTAAGTCTATTTAACTTAATACAAAAAAACGAACGTAGAACGCGAACGCGGAATGCTTGAACGCGTGAACTCCTTCTGTCTGATAGATCCCAAAAACTTTCGGTTGCCAACCCACTTGCTAAGAGAGGAAACTATGGTAAATGGGTGGTTCTCATCAAAATAATATTTTTCGCAAAAAAGTTTCCAATTTTTTAAACCTACGTACAGACCTAAAATTTTATGCGTAAATAATTGTTTTGTTGATAGTAAGCAGTTTTATCTAGGAGGCATACGAAACTAACCACTGATTCTAGAAAAAAAATTAATTATTTAAAGTTTGCTGTTACCGAGAATGATAACTTGTGAGAATAATGACATTAGTGCAGAGGAAAATGATGTTCTGTTACAAATAATGACAATTTCATTAAGAATAATAAGGCATATAATCAATAAATTGCATGATAAATTGTAAAATTTTTCTGAAATTTAATGAATTTTTTATGAAATTTTATAAAAATTGCATCTTTGGACATTAAAAAATTATAGAGTATCCATTAGGAGCTTGTAACAATCTACTTACTTTAAATCACATTTTTTGTTTTTAATTAAAATAAAAACTAACATTCGTATCCAAAGAACTTATAAAATTCTTACAATAATGAATAACTCGAAAATTCTTATAGTAAGAAACTTTTTAAAACTTCTAAGATTGTTGTAACTTTTTTGAATTCGACAGTATACCTTTAGACACAATTAAAAATCATAATCAAAATATTGTTAAAAACAAGTATTAATAAAAGATAGGAATATAAGTCATTTAGTAAGGATTGTGAAATTCTACAAAATCAAGCAGTCTTGAAAACTTTAATTAAAACATGATAAAAGTAGCCACAAAAATATCAACCGAACAGAAAGACACTTTAATTATTTTGATGTTGATGGTTTGTTGATCTCGTCAAATTTTGTTTTCTCAAGAATGGTCACATCAGGATGTTTAGAGATGCGTCCTACAATTTTATTAGGTACATTGATCTCGTTTAAAGTTATATCAGAGAGAAGAGAATTGTTACTTTTTTATTCCTGATGTGATTAAATTTTGTCTTCGCAAGTAGTGTTAGATCAGATTCGACAAAGTTACATTCTACGTTTTCTTTTAGCAACAGAGGTATACATTCTAAATGTTTGCCATGTTCACAAATTTTTGAAGGACTGCAGGACTCACCTTTAATCTTTCATCTTCAATGTATCTCGTAATTAATTCCTAAAACTGAAAGAATGACCCAACGTCTTCTCATTACATGACCATTCGATCGATTTGATTCGAGCTGAGCAGAAACTTCATTGTTAGTATCAGACATAATTTGGACAAAGGATTGTTTTAAGATTACCTAATTTTGTGACTAGTTCTCAAGAAATTTCATTTTCTTATATATTATTTTTTTATCAATTTTTTTCATAGCGCACGTTTAATGGTAAGACTCTTCCTTCGTTGTGGTTACAGTGACTCATCATTGGCACAAGCTCTAAACATTCATCCAAATTTGAATTGCGCCGAAAAATCCTAATAATATTAAGAATTTGAGGATACAAATTTGATTGTTTTTCGATGGGAACTATTTCCAATTCAAAAGCTACAAGCCTCGCAAAATTTTCATTTCGCTGATCTAAGGGATCGTGAAAGTCCAATTTGTGCAATATATCGGTTATAATCGAAAACGTAGTTTTATCAGTGTGTTTACGATAGATCATGACATCTATTATCTTATCGTTAATGGTTTGAGTGTCAACTTTTTTTTCCTTGAAATATCGTCTTTTTTAAAAAAATAGCTGTCCAGATAAAATTGAGGGCGTAGTTCATCTCTTCCTCTGCATGGTTATTATTATTACTTATTATCTGTAATCTAATGACAATCCAGCTTAGAGGAGTTTTGCCGGGAACTTGACCGGCGGCGGTTTGCTGCTCCTGTATTATTGTTTAAATAATAGTTTGAAGTGGATTTTGATATCTTAAAGTGGTACGATTTTGTATATTAAGTGTCTACGCATGTGAACTATTAGTGGAAACGGTGAAACAAGTGCTCTGATGGTGATGTGATTCTCAAGATAAGGTGTCTGTCTGCTAAGGCGCCTTGAGATACCATCTCCAACAGTTAGCTATCTGCTGGCTCAAGTTGCCGTCAAAACGTCCCAAGGGCTGCACAATGTGACGCATCAACATATTGTGAAGCAGTGTACTATGAAGAATAATTATACATTGTAACTTTCAGGCTCAGAAGGGCTAGAACCCGGAGCCGTAAAGCCAAGCCAAAAAAATCCAGCCAAAGAGAATATAATCACTACGTTTAAATCCAGCTTAGAACAAAGGAGATGTTC